AAAGGGGTGAAGAGGGGTGGGGTGAGATGAAGAGAGATGGGTGGTCATTGCGAGTGAGGTACTCAGGAATGGTACCGGAGAACTTGTTATAGGGAATGGAGCTGGGAATGGCGGTACACGGGGGGGTGAAGAGGGGTCGGGTGAGATGAGAGAGGGATGGGTGGTAGCTGTGGCTAGTATCGAGAACAAGGTACTTAGGAATGGTACCGGAGAACTTGTTATAGGGTATGGAGCTGGGCAGGGGGATGAAAGGGGGGCGGGGGTTTGGGTTGAGATGAGAGAAGGATGGGTGGTCATTGCTACTAGTAGAATCTAACAAAATATTCAGAAACGGTACCGGGGAACTTGTTAAAGGGTATGAGGTGGCAAGTGGAGGGGCATGGGGGTGAGGCGGGTGGGGTGGGGTGAGATGAGAGATGGGTGGTTGAATGGACTGACAGGTATTTCAGTGCTGAGAGGGACTGGAGTCCGGTAGGGAGAGGCCCCGCCAGGGTGGTGTTGCGGATGGTGCTGGGGAAGGGAAGGAAGGGATGGGAAGGGCGGGGTGGGGTGGGAAGGGCGGGTGGGAGAGGGAGGAGCGTAACGAGGCCAAGTGAGAGGGACTGCAGTGCAGAAGGGAGAGGACCCGCCAGGGTGGTGTTGCGGATGGTGCTGGGGAGGGGAAGGAGGGGCGGAGGGGCGGGAGGGGTAGCAAGGAGCGGTACATGAGGGGAGTGAGGTGCTTGGGGAGGGGAGGAGGGGCGGAGGGGCGGGAGGGGTAGCAAGGAGCGGGACATGAGGGGAGTGCGGCAGCATGGGGAGTTCAAGCCAAGATCACAAAGCATGGTGTTGTGCATCGGGGTATGAATGGGCGGAAGAGGAGTGGGAGAGAAGACGCTTACAGTGCTGTGAGGGAGGAGAGGGGCTTATAGTGCTGTGAGGGAGGGGAGGGGCTTATAGCGCTGTGAGGGAGGGGAGGCTGCTGGAGAGAAGAGAAGCATTAAGATTCGAACTGGAATGAGACGCTTACCAGTGCTGTGAGCGAGGAGAGGGGCTTACAGTGCTGTGAGGGAGGGCAGAGAGAAGCGTTAAAACTCGCACTGGAATGAGACGCTTACAGTGCTGTGAGGGAGGAGAGTGCGCTGATGGCGTCTGGAAGTGACCCGCTGATGGGCGTGTCAGTGATGGCCCTGAGAAGGCGGGGGACGGGGGGGAATGGTTGGGTGGGGGGCGGGGAATGGGGGAGGGGGATCGGGGTTGAGGGAGGAAAGCGCGCTGATGGCGTCTGGTGGAGATCGTCTGATTTGCGAGTCAGTGATGGTCCTGAGAAGGAAGGAGAGAAGTGGGGAGTGGAGACGGGGGGAGTGGAGGGGGAGGAAGGAAAGGGGGAGGGAAATGGGAGGAGGAGGGAAGGGGGGAGGGGAGATGGGGGGAGGAGGGGAGGGGAAGGGAAGTGAATGGGAGGAGTGAAGGTTGAAAGATTTGTACGGTACAGCGTATCAGTGTGAGTGAGCTTTCAGCTTCAATTTGACCCGCTGGTTATGTGTGAGTGATGGACCTTCCAGGGGAGAAGGGAGACGGGGGTGCAAGAAGGCAAGCAAAATGCCAAAGGAAACTTCTGAGTTTAATTACAGTGTATACACAGGTACGGTGCATCAACTTTTTTCAAATTTGCCTTCTCGCATGCTACTGATTGCACATTCATGTGTACTTCGCACGTGGTTTTACTCTAGTGCAGTGCAGACATGTGTCTCACTTGGTTGAACCGAGTACATCAGTTCTCACATGCTTGTAACGAAGCCATCCGCGGTGCATGAAAGCCACGTGGCGTTTCTACAGTCCCATCCAGAGGCGCCTCCCCCAGGGGACTCAACACCCCACTCCAGTAAGATTTGATCCAATGCAAGTGCTGCATACAAGGGGGAGCAAAGGAAACATACATCTTGCAAATGTGGTCCTGCCTATTCAAGGTGCTTTCTGAAAGGAGTGGATTCAACTTATGGTTACCGTGCATGGTACCAAACCTGGTTCCTATACAGCGTTCCTGTTTTGCCATCCTAAAGAATCGTTCCGCTCGTTATTACAACGTTGCGCTCGTACCCTGTGCGCTATCCAACGGTTGCGCGTTGGCCGCCGTGAAGTGCGGCGGGCCGAACCAGCCCGCCATTTGTAGAAACAGCGCGAGAAACAGAATCGGAGCCAGCCGTTTCTCGAGATTGCGGCGGGAAATTACGCGATTATTAGTGATGCTCGTCGTAATCTCCATGGGCCTTGAAGAGGATGTTGCGATTCCGCGTCGGACCGCGCTGGTTAGATGGACACAAGTTACTGAGTCGTCGTGAAAGAGAATAATTCCTGTCCGTTTCACACATAGAGAACTATTGCGTCATTAAAAGAAAGCCTCAGAGTTGGTGGTTGCGAATGTTTGGAGTCTCGCTCAGAAATACGATCGCGGCGCGTCGGAACATGACATGGTTGCCAGGAGGGGTATTAATAACAGTAATAACGCTGTAAATAGGGGAGGCCTGGAAACTAGAGATGCACCGCAAATGCAGACAATGCCGAGCGACAGAGCAGCTATTTCTCTGGAACGCATGAGCTATCTTGAGCCAACGAAGGCATCGCGTCGCCATTGCTGGAATCAGCCTTCGCAATGCTGGCAAAGGAGACATGGCGTGACTCCAGCGAAAGGAACACCGTTCTATAGATGAAGCTTTATGAAGGTAGACTTCCCTGAAGGTGAGCTGGAGGTGAGGTGGACGCGAGGTGGAGGTGAGTGGGATAGGAGAGCCAGTGACAATCCCGAGGCTTTTGATGCCGCGGATTAGTAGGCAGGGGTCGTGTGGAGTCTTCGAGGTCACGTTCAGAGCTTACAGCGAGTATGGTTGGGGCTGACGAGGAACCGATTTCAATTTCGTGATCAAACGAAGAAAGGGTACTTGTGACGGTATAGGCTGTCGTATAATTGGACATGTCAGTTCCTTAAGAAATCGCATGTGCATAACATCAGCTATTTCAAACACCATTTCTGGGAAGAAACTTGATGACATGTAAACATGTCCCTAACAATAAGTGTTGTTGTACAAGTTTACACTGACTATGGAGATAAAGATTATAGATATGCGGATTTGTGTTCTCTTGTTCGTGTGCTAATACGTTATGCGGACTCGGCAAAAGCGACATTATGTACGTTCATGAACAATCAGGTGGTGCCGCCGCAACACCACTTGGGGGACCAGCCACAACCCGCAATCACAACGGGGTGATTTGCGTGAAAGTGGTTGGTGTGGTCGCCACGGCGACGTTCAAAGAAACGGTGCCGATGACAACAAGGTGGTCCATGGACGGTGTAGATTCGCAGGTTTGACCTTCCCCACCAGTCTTCCTGAGACAGCTGTCTACGTGGCACGTCTGCTAGGCGTATCGGACGCAGCGCCCCAGCTGCAGCGGGCTCACGAGTCATGGCAGAGGCGGAACAACCGTGGTTGAACGGGGTTCACGCCATTGGAACATTCGCTCTTTGCTTGCGAACGTCGTTGGCTAGTTTGGAAGTTGCGAGATGTGTGTGATGCGAATCGCATATTCTCCACATACTTTCGCGGAAGTACACATGCTTACCGAAGCCACAACGCCCCAGCAGGCAAGAGCATGCACACGAAATCGTGTGAAGATGAATTGGTCGAGATTTGACCTGCGAAACTCGAGGCTTGATCCAAGGGTTACAAATAAGCCACGCTACTTTGGCGACGTCGTTACCCATACCTTTACCGCGTGGTTGGTATGCATCCGAACCAGCTAGCCCCTGTTTTGACGGAACCCCACCCTCGATCTCCGTCACTTGTTTTGATCACAGCCATTTAACGAATCACTGTTTGCCACCTCATGTTATCCCCCGAGCGCTCACCCCAGGTTCCATCGTCCCGTCATCCATTCGCTTCCTCACCCCAGCCGCACAACCAGCACCCGCACCTTTTTTCGCTTTCCCGCCGACACCCGATTCCCGCAGGACATTCCCGTGCCACCCCCGCGTGGTGTTCAGTCTGCGCCCTCGTTCCGCCCCTTCCTTCCCGCGGCTCTATCGCCATCCGCGCTCCCCCCACCCGCCATGCGCCATCCCACACTCACCAGCCACTTGTCTCAATTTCCCCGCGCCTCTCCGTTCCAATCCCTAATCGTCACTAGCCTGCGCTGTATACTAACCAATCCTGTCTCGGAATTAGCATTTCAGTTTGTTGACGGGGCTTTGCTTGCCTGCTCGCTGTCCCGCTTCCAGCATCTTTGGCTGCTCAGACCGTTACCCTCAAGCTCCGCGAAGAGCTAGCCAGTTCTCCTCCCTTGGTTCTGTTCCTGCAAACGCGTCAGCGAAGGTCCTACGAACGACCAACCAGCGCTCAAGTGCTGCTCGTGCTGATTCTAGTGACCACACCGCCAGTCACATTCTGATTCTGTGGCTGGCTCAGGGGCTTCAATCGGCAGGGGCTTCAATCGGCGTCTTTGCCTCCTGACTCCTGAGTAACTCGCAGCCATCGCTCGCGCGGCTGCTATTCTCGTCGCCGTGATTCGCGCTTCTTGGTAGTCCCCGTTCAATCGCACTGGCCAGTCCCTACGGGTCTGGTCCGTGCAAACACATTGGCCACCACGGCGTTTACGGCGGGTAACGCGGGAAACCGTTTCGCACACACGTTCCAGCTGGAGGCCGCGGGAAAGCTGTGCCTGGGCGCCGTTTCCGCGCACGGTGGGAGGGGAGCACTTCCGTCTGAGGGGGGAAGTCCCTCGGACCTCCTTTTCCTTGCAGGAGGTGGAAGCGACACTCCCGTGTTCGTCGCAGACTGAACCGCGGCTATAGTTATTCTTTTTCTGCTCGAGTCGCTGTTTAGCCTGCCTAGGGTTCCCTGAGGTACACTTAGAGAGGGAACCTGCTAGATAAATTTGTGATTTTCTCTCGGGAGAGAGGGTCAGGGCGCTCTCTGAAGCAGCTTCTAAGTTTCTCGGAGATTCTCCGACGCTCATCCTTCGTCACTATGCTGACGATTAAGAAGGTTCCGACGGTGGTCTCTCTGAACCAGGAGGAGGACCAGCCCGCGGGTTGCGGTCGCCGCTGTCTGAATTCCTGCTGCACCATTGGTACGTCCCACATCCCGATCCTACCTCTGCGTCGTACCTCCCGAACCTACCTCCCGATCCCACCCTCAGACCCACGTTCAATCCACCCCCTGCTGTTTGTTGATTACGGTTTGCTAATTCAATCACACACTTGCTTTCCGGACCACCTTGGACCACGCGTGTGACTCCCACACTTTGAACTCGTTCTCAATTTGCTAACCTTGTAAAGTTACTTCAACATTCTTGCATTTTTCTTTAACCTTCTTTATCGTCAACTTCAGGTGCTCGCATGCCTCTCTACGCGTACGCTAAGCGTCCCTGCACCAAGCCGGAGCGCATCCAATCGTTCACGGAGCTGGACGGAGTTCCAGGCTTCCAGCCCGGGTTTCTCGGGAACACCACGAGCTTCGCGTCGTACGACGACTTGCTGTCGATCCGCGAGTCGCTGTCGTCGTCCGACGAGGACTCGCTGTCGTCCGGCGGCGCGAGCGACATCCACGACGAAGATGCATTCTCCCTGCGCAAGCACATCACCTCCGAGGTACGGCGCTCATCGTACTTGGTTGTCACTGTGCTTGGCTGTGCGAAGCTCAAATTCTCCATTAATTTTATTTTTGCTGGTAGCTGGATTGCAATTCCGCGCACTATGCTGCGTGATCTGTTCTGACCTAATCTTGTTTCTGCCCTCCCCCCTCCTTTGTTCCTCGTCCCTGTTTTTCTGTTTTTCCTCCTATCCCTCTTGTCTTTCCCCTTCCCTGCTGTTCTGCCCTTTTCAGTGGGAGAAGAAGTTTCAGGAGGGGTTGTTCCGCTATGACGTGACAGCATGCGAGTCAAAGGTACGTTTTTTAAAGTTAGCAGATCAGAGCTCTCGTTCTTGAAGTGCCCACTGAGGTGTGCTGGGGAACATGAAGTGAAGGTAAAAGGGGTTTGTGTCGATATAATTGTGACCTTTAACCAAAATTAGCACAATAACTGAGAATGCGGTCCTTCCTCGTACATTGTGCAGGTTATTAAGGGCCGTCTGGGCGTCATTGCGCAGCTCAATGAGGGGAGGCACTCCAAGAAACCTTCCAGAGTTTTGTGTGGTGGACAAGGTGTTGCAAGCGTTTGACAACTCCCGTTGCTTCATTTTCCCCGTTTCCCCCGTTTTCCTCCCCTTTTCTGTCCCGTTTTATGCATGTTGCAGGTGATCGAAGGTCGCCTGGGCTTCACCGCACAGCTGAACGAGGGGCGGCACTCCAAGAAACGTCCCACCGAATTCCGCGTGGACAAGGTGCTGCAGGCGTTTGACCCCGCCAAGTTCAACTCCCCTTTTTCCCCGTTTTTCCTCCCCTTTTCTGTCTCGTATGGTGCGTCTTGCAGGTGATTGAGGGTCGTCTGGGCTTCATTGCACAGCTGAACGAGGGGAGGCACTCCAAGAAGCGTCCCACCGAATTCCGTGTGGACAAGGTTCTCCAGGCGTTTGACCCCGCCAAGTTCAATTTCACCAAGGTCGGGCAGAACGAGATGCTCTTCCGCTTCGAGGAAGGCAAGGACGAGGAGAGCCGCTTCTATGAAGCCGCGCTTGTGGAGGAGAGCCCGAGCCTCATGGTCATCAATGTGAGTTGTGCTTGGACCTTTTACCAGCTTAGTGTTTTGTTTTTGGTCCCTTGTGGAGGAGAGAGCCGCTTCTATGAAGCCGCGCTTGTGGAGGAGAGCCCTAGCCTCATGGTCATCAACGTGAGTTGTGCTTGGACCTTTTACCAGCTTAGTGTTTTGTTTTGTTCCTTGTGGAGGAGAGCCGCTTCTATGAAGTGGCGGCTGTGGAAGAGAGCCCCAGCCTCATGGTCATCAATGGAAGCCTAGATTGCACTAAAATCCACGCATTTTTCTTTTCAGGGTTTCATTTGTCTTTTCCCAGATTATAGGGTTTGTTGAGTTCGGGTACATGGCTCCAGTGTAATTAGCCTCAGTGAAAGTTATGGACTTTCTTGGTGCTCTTTCTTTCTACCCTCTGATATCCCCCATTGACTGTGGCCATGAGCTGCTGGTTCCACGTGTGCTTGACAAAATCCCGCACCGCCTGGACGAATCCAGCCTTTTTATGGCTTTCTATAGAGTTGACTATCCTAACTTTTGCTCCCTCCATTTTGCTCTTTCCTCCCTCCCACCCTCAGGTGTCTCCCATTGACTACGGCCACGTGCTGCTGGTTCCCCGTGTGCTTGATAAGATCCCCCAGCGCATGGACGAGTCCAGCCTCCTCATGGCTCTCCGCAGAGTTGACGATCCTAACTCCTGCTCACTCCATTCTGCTCTTTCCTCCCACCCACCCTCAGGTGTCTCCCATTGATTACGGCCACGTGCTGCTGGTTCCCCGTGTGCTCGACAAGATCCCCCAGCGCATGGACGAGTCCAGCCTGTTTGTCGCTCTCCATAGAGTAGATTATTCCAACTCTTGCTCACTCCATGTTGCTCTTTCCTCCCTCCCACCCTCAGGTGTCTCCCATTGACTACGGCCACGTGCTGCTGGTTCCCCGTGTGCTAGACAAGATCCCTCAGCGCATGGACGAATGCAGCCTCCTCATGGCTCTCCGCCTAGCCTCGGAGGTCAACGACCCTGCCTTTAGGATCGGCTACAACAGCCTCGGCGCCTTCGCCACAATCAACCACCTGCACTTCCAGGCCTATTTCCTCGACCTGCCGTTTGCGATCGAGCGCGCGTCTTCCAAGGAGATTGCGGTTTCAACGAATGAGGTCAAGGTTGGGGAGCTTGTGGATTATCCAGTGAAAACGCTGGTGTTCCAGGCGGGTGCGTGCATCGAGCAGATGGCATCGGCAGCTGCGGCTGCTTGTTGCAAGCTGCAGGAAGGGAACATTCCCTTCAACATGTTTATTGTGGACCGGGGCACCCGTCTGTTCCTCATTCCACAGGTACGGTCCTCTATTTCTCCTCCTTAATCATTGTGCTGTTTGTTTTCAACCATTGCCTCCTCCTGTGCCTGTCTGCAACCTATATGGTGTCACCTTGTCGAGTTTCAAGGTTTTGGTTTTACTAGTGTTTTCTGTTTTGTCACTGGTTGTCTCAACCTAACACCTAACCTGATCCTCCCCTTTCCCTTCCTGCTTGCAGAGGTACGCAGAGAGGCAGGCAAGGGGTGAAATTAGCCAGGATCTTCTTGACACGCAGGTGAACCCAGCAGTGTTTGAAATTTCCGGTCATATCGTGTGCAAGCGCCGAGAGGATTATGATAATGCCTCTGAGGAGTGGACCTGGAAGCTTCTGGAAGCAACTTCCCTCACTGAGGAGGGGTTTGAAGTCGTCAGGAAGATTTCAGTGGAAGCGCTGGCTGCGTCTGCTGCTGAGTTTGCTGAGATTGGGGTGAATGGTGTGGTTGGGAAGGGAAAGTTGGAATTTGTGAGTGAGGCTGATGCTTGGGTGGATTTTGGTGCAAAGAAAGGTGGTGTGATTCAGCAAGCTCTTCAGCTTGCTTAGGCCTGTGTTGGATGATTTTGTGTACTATTACAATCTTATTACCTTATTACTGATTTGTTGCATCACTCCCTGACACGTTGTTCGTTTCAAGTTTTGCGATAATCTGCATAGGGATTGCTGCCCTGGCTAACCATTAGCTACCCTATGTAGCTCCAAGGGTAATACACATTTAGTCCTGATTCGGAAATAACATAACTGCTGCAAAATCTGAGAGATTTGCCGTCTAAAACAAAGGAGTGAAAGGGGCCTATTAAGTGGACTGTAAATGTTTGTGAACTATAAATGCTTGTCCTCTCTATGAACAGAAATTCTTGTCAATAAGGAGTTGACGTCAGCTTCCAACATCAACATAATAATAATAATAATAATAATAATAATAATAATAATAATAATAATAATAATAATAATAATAATAATAATAATAATAATAATAATAATAATAATGATTGCCACTGCATTCCACATTTCCTGTCGAAAAGAGCAGAAATGGGGAGTCGGCAAGCTAAAACCTGAACATGCTCCACTCTCATACCGCCCGACTATCTGATAGAAATGAGTACTAAGGGCGTATGAGGTCGGTTTTGAAGTTCAAAATAAAGTGCGAACTTTGGGTGGTTACCCGTTTCGCCAATATCGCATGGAGCTATTAGCGAAAATTCGTCAACTTTGGGTTTGGCAACATGCGAACTGCAAACTTGAACAAGACTCGAGTTTTAGTTGTGAACGTGCTTCGGCATGTTCACATTCACGTGTGTGATTTCCCGCACGTTCAGTCATCGGGCGAAATGTGCGAGCGACTCACGAGTAGCAACAGTGGCACAACGAACTCACCACAGCCTTCGTGTACTGAATAGAGGCCACGTGGCGAGAATCGTCATGTTTGGGGAATGACGAGAGCTCCAGGTGGGCAACCTCTGATATTTGTACCCCAGTGTTGAAGGTGAGCTGGAGGTCTAGGCTATCCGAAACCGAGGCGCACGTCGGCCGCGTGGCGCACTGTCAAGACGTCTGAACCGGGTAACCTACGTTGTAGAAATGCGGCTCGGTGCGATTTTACAAGTTCGAATACGCGCACTCGACCTTGTATGTGTGTGTGCTTTTCTGCAGTGTTGTGGTCCAGATGTGCGAACCCCGATACAAAGGAAGTCGAGATTGATTCGACTTATGTTCACTTCGCACAACTCGCCCAAAAAATGTAAGAAATTTTTTGAAAGTGTAAAACACTTTCTAAAAATAAAGATTGTGAAAGCGCAGCTGACTGTAGTGAAGCAAGGCAACTGCGAATGCTTGTTCCCGAGTATATAACGAGGGTTGGAGGCCATTTGGCCTCCACCCACGTCTTCATTTCGGAACTTTACAGTTCCGCTTCATTCTCGTCCAACCACTTCCGTTTTCACTCGTCATAAATTTTGCTCTAGAAGTACGGAGGCAACGCATCGACAAGCGCTGCAGCAGCAATGTAACTTAAACAATAGCTACTACCGGCGTTAACTGCGAAGGTTATAGCATCGCGCCGGCGATGCATTTGGTGTGCGCGCAACCGAGAAAGAAGTGCGCATGAAGCAACGGCCACTCGCGCATCAGTGACGAAGTCGCCACGTGCGCAAGTGGCGTGCGCTAGTGACGAAATCGTCACTTGCGCCAGTGGCGCTCGCGTGTGGCGAAATTGTCACTTGCGCCAGTGGCGCTCGCATGTGGCGAAATCGCCACTTGCGCCACTGGCGCGCGTGTGTGGCGAAATCGCCACTTGCACCAGTGGCGCACGTCTGTGGCGAAATCGCCACGGACGAAATGGCCAGCGGCGCGGCAGTCAAGAAACTGCTACCGCCGCGCCTAAGGCGTTTCACTGGGCGTCAATCGCCAATGCAGCACCCCATGTCACCTCACCATTTGTTAAGCTTCATATAAATTGTTGCAAGCTCTTTTCATTTTCTTTTTCTTCTTTCCATTCCTGATTTATTCTCTCATTGCCTATTAATCTCGATACTCCCTCGATTCTCTTGGTGGCAGAAAAACGGGCACAACATGGAAAAAATGCACGTGAAGTCGGACTCTACTAGCCACGTGGAAAAAAAAAATGCAACTACGACCGGATCAACTGCACGCACATCGAACGAGGAGATTGAGAGCCGCCCCAGGGGGGGAAGGGGACCGAGGGTCCCCAAGTTGGCCTGAGAGCCGCCCCCAGGGGGGAAGGGGAGCGAGGGCCCCCAAGTTGGCCTGAGAACCGCCCCAGGGGGGGAAGGGGACCGAGGGTCCACAAGTTGGCCTGAGAGCCGCCCCCAAGGGGGGAAGGGGACAGAGGGTCCCCAAGTTGGCCTGAGAGCCGCCCCCAGGGGGGGAAGGGGACCGAGGGTCCCCAAGTTGGCCTGAGAGCCGCCCCCAGGGGGGGAAGGGGACCGAGGGTCCCCAAGTTGGCCTGAGAGCCGCCCCCAGGGGGGGAAGGGGACCGAGGGTCCCCAAGTTGGCCTGAGAGCCGCCCCCAGGGGGGGAAGGGGACCGAGGGTCCCCAAGTTGGCCTGAGAGCCGCCCCCAGGGGGGGAAGGGGACAGAGGGTCCCCAAGCTGGCCTGAGAGCCGCCCCCAGGGGGGGAAGGGGACAGAGGGTCCCCAAGCTGGCCTGAGAGCCGCCCCGAGGGGGGGAAGGGGACTGAGGGTCCCCAAGCTGGCCTGAGAGCTGCCCCCTAGGGGGGGGAAGGGGACCTAGGTCCGCGAGCTTCGATGTTTGGCCAAAAGCACTTCCAGAGGGGGAAGGAAAGGTATGCTGGCCAGAGGGCCACCTTCTTAGGGAGGGAGGACTTGCAGACTTTTTGAGATGGGGGAAAACCCTGACTATTGTCTATGTGGATATGTCGTACTACATCATTGGCTATATGTGTACAATATGACAATAGTGAAAATAAAAATACAAATCACGAGCAATCCTGGTCCTAATCGGATGTTGGAACCACAAACAACCATTCGACTGACTTTGGTAAGGTTGGTAGAATGTAGCTACGTGTAGTAAGGACATCTATTGGGTCCTCGTTTCTTACTTACCTACACAGCACAATGAGGGGGGAGAGTGTGTGTTGCAACCATTATTCACTAGTACAATACGGTCCAAGATAGAAACGAGCAACCGATGGGCCGCGAGACGAGCAACCGACGGGCCACGAGACGAGCAGCCAGCCAGGCCCCATGTTATCAGGATAATTTATCATGAATTTCCTGAATTCAGGATATGTGTTTTGTCCTTCTCCTGGCAAACCACCGTAAGGGAAATATTGGTCATGTAAAAAATCACTGTAGCAGTTATTTTGCGTACTAAGAATTCAATATAACGCTGTAGGTTCACCCCTGATGAGTCAGGATAGTGAAGAGACTCCTCCTAAAGGGAGTACTGCGCAATTTTTTCCTGGGCCTAGTGTACCCAACCATCGACCTGGTACAACGTAAATCACGCGCCGTGATTGTCTCTCTGTTTTTTTTATGACATGGCTCGTTCAAATCCAAAGCGCGCCCAACCTGGTAACACTTCATTGCTGAAATCACCACCAATATGAGTGTGCCGCTGACTTACGGTAACACGCAGGAAAAGCACTGCCAACTTTGCAGAATGCTGTTGGATTATGCGTAATGTAGCACTGTTCGGCCGTCAAACTCCGCACTGACGGCTCAGCAAACTTCCTACCAAACTGCCCGGAAGCCTCGGCGTACCCTCAAACGAATCTGCGGGCCCGCGAGCAACGACGGGCCAGGAGACGAGCAACTGACGGGCCACGAGACGAGCAACCAACGGGTCACGAGATGAGCAACCGACGGGCCACGAGACGAGCAACCGACGGACCACGAGACGAGCAAACGACGGACCACGAGACGAGCAACACCGATAAGCCAAGAGACGAACAACCGACGGACCATGAGACGAGCAACCAATGGGCCAATAGACGAGCAACCAACGGGCCACGAGACTAGCAACTGACGGGCTACGAGACGAGCAATCGATAGGCTAAGAGATGATCAATTGATGGGTGAATAGACAAGCAACTGACGGGCCACGAGATGAGCAGCAGTTGGACCACGGGGTGAGCAACTGATGGGCCACGAGACGAGCAACCGATGGGCCACAAGACGAGAAACCAATGGAACAAGACATGAAGCAACCGATGGGCCAAGAGACAAACAACAGATGGGCCAGGAGACGAGCAACCGATGGGTCAGTAGCGCATGGCTTGAGGTTTGGTTATGCGACATTCTTCTTACGAACCCATATCCTTATGGATGATGCACACCGTACCGGTCCTGTAGGCATCATATTTCAATAGCAGTCGCTACACTATGATTACACCTCATTCTGGGCCCCTTCGTTCCCCAATAAAGGAATTTCGTACCCTAGGCCGATTGCAAACATGAAAGTTCAAAGTCAAGCATCCATTCTTGCTAACACGTCACTAGTCCAAGACCCTACACCCCGTCATTCACCAAACAAGACCAACATCGCTGCAGGAGTCATCGCGCAACACTCGGAGCCTCATCACTGCCACATGGGCCGTCTTCAACAACCATCTTCTACACCGCGCATGCCAGCACAACAATCATTCTAAACTATGGCCCCCCACTCCACCAACAAACGATCGGCACAAGGAGGGAGCAACTCGATATACGTCGACATACAACGACCAACACCAACAATTAATGTCACGGGACGTCACCATCGACCAGCTCCGCCAACGCACGCACATGTCTCAGAAGACCCAATTGAAATGAAGCACGTTGCCTTGCAATAACCAGAAAGCAAGCTTTCTCAATATGAAAATTTTTAAAAGTGTAAAACACTTTCTAAAAATAAAGATTGTGAAAGCGCAGCTGACTGTAGTGAAGCAAGGCAGCTGCGAATGCTTGTTCCCGAGTATATAACGAGGGTTGGAGGCCATTTGGCCTCCACCCACGTCTTCATTTCGGAACTTTACAGTTCCGCTTCCCCCCCGCCCACCCCTTGTTGATCTTTGTGTAATGCTTAAGTTGGACGAGAATGTTGTAATTACCCCAATTAAAATGAAGCACGTTGCCGTGCAATAACCCGAAAGCAAGCTTTCTCCATTGTAAACTTTCACGAATTTCACGGATCACACGCGCCCTAATTGTACCTCCCCGTTGTGATTGCTGCAGAAAGCAGCAAGGAAGCACAAATTCGTTTACAGAGGCTGCGCTGTATATAATTCGATTCGTCGCCTACGAACAGAAATGCTGCAGACATAATGGCGCCAAACTGTTCCGCGTGGTAAATTAGTCGCGGTATGGCGAGTTGTGGGATGTGAAACCTGTGAAATTTGTTCACGTAACGTGTCGTGAAAACCAGGAAACCAAGCAGAGAACAAGCAGAGGAGCACAAAAACCAAACCTCCTCTTCCATCCACCTGTTTACCCTTTCTGGCAACCATAGGCGAGACCCACAAGAACGAACTGACTACACCCTCTTTCTCAGCATTGTCAATCTGGCTATAGCAAAGTCAAGATGAAAAAAACACGGTTAACGGTGGTTGAGTTACGTTTTGGTATGGTTCAAATAAGCAGATCAAAGATAACAAGGTTTTTCACCAGCTCAGCACAATTTAATGTAGCGAGAAACAAGGTCTATGTGGTATTATCACACTTTACAGCCGCTTCTGCTCAGTTATCACACACTGGCCATCACTTCTGCTTGTTAACTTTTCTGACAAGCACAAGAGCTGTTTAATAAAATATGGCATCGATAGAGAAGATAATTGCATACATTTTAAGAAATGCGGTAGAATGAGAAACTAGTTTCCAGTAAAAAAACAAACTGGAAAAAATCTAGTGATTTAACAAAAGAGAAATTTAATAGAAAACTTAGAATGCATTATAATTTACATATCAATATTATTGTGTATATTTTTTCATATTGATCATAGTACATCTTATAGAAGAGTATTATCGCTTATACTTTGACAAGATAATACTTGTCATTTAGATTTTGTACCCTATGCAAATAGAGTCATTAAGAAATTTACCAGGAACAAGATTTTGTATCTCTTTTTTCCCTAGTAATATATTCCTCCTTATATATACTGGTCACCCTCACTTCGACTATCCACCAAGCGGTTCTTCGCATCTATGATCGTGGCATAATAAAAGGGCATGGATAAACAGAACACCAAACAAAGAGGTCTTTAAGGCGCATTGGTAATAATTCTGATTGTTTCAACTATAAAACATTTTGCTTTTTTTTTTCGAGGCATTGGATCTTTGTTATGTCATAGTTGATCATGCAAGGAATCGCGAGGTGAGAGGTTGAAGCAAGTGCAGTCCAAACATAGAAAAAATGACGATACACTTATAAATATATAAATTAAGAAAACTGCATGCAAAATAATTCTCACGAATGTTAGGTTTTGATCAAAATTATGAGAGAACTTGAAGTTCTTCCAGAATCTTTGGGGCTTTGAGGAAAATACTCATGCACCAAACAGTTCCCAACACCATCTGGCGGCAAAAACTAACTTGTAAAAAGCAGACGATAAAGGACTGGCTGCACCTGAACGTACAGGAAAAAATATATTGGAAAGATGGTTTTTATTAGTGGGGCCTCTAAACGAGAACGTCTGTGCTCAAAGCTGCGAACACAGGCAAATTTCCCGCTCCGCTCAATGCCCAGTCGAAGGACCTGCCGAACGTCTCCCTACTCTGCATCCCCCCGCACCCACAGACTACACATACTGATCGCCCACACTGCGGCCGGCAGACTTGCGCGCACTCCCCTACAGTTCACGACGACGACGGCTAGTAGGCGACGTCGTCCTTCGACGAAACGTTGGGGAACGGCGACAATTTTCAGCTCTTCGATGTGGATTGACGGTTGAGATGTATCGACATTTCAGGACCGTCATGTTTAGGATCATGTCGGTGATGTCGTGTCGACTTCCGTTCCGACCAGCCATTCTTACAGTACACCCAACGAAAAAGTGCGCTGCAGTCCGCCGCTCGGCTGCGCAGGTGGTGCGCGCTCGACCTTTCCGACCGTTCGGCCTTTTGACTGCCCGTTCGAGTTGCGAGAACAGATAGGCGCTCGGATCGGGTTTTGAGCTGACGTCTCAAAAGTGAGAAGTGGCTCCCGGCCGTGTCGTGTCCGACCAAACACAAAAACGAGCCCATGTGACATGCGCGAGATGCGCAAGTTGTGCGCATTGACTTCGTGTGGAGCGGCCTTCCAGGGGACGATAGAGAAATGATCCAACCAACGGCTAAGAAACCTTCGTGATGACTGTGGTGCCTGTATCCCTTTGCTCCTACCGCCACTTACCACAGTCCAATCATCTCCTCGTCCGCTTGTGCCATCCGCACTCCCACTGGGAATCCCGTTTCTCGCCTCACCACACATTTCCCCGGCGCTTCTCCGCTTCCCCCGGAGGGCCTCCGCTCACCAAAGCGCGTTGGTAAACAACGCGCTTTCCCAAAGTCTCAGTTACAATTTCCCTGCGGGGATTATGGAGCAACCCCGCAACAGCACGCTTTCCCAAAGCCAGGAGAAGTCATATCCGAGTGTGGCTGCTCCAAACGCTTCAGTCGGAATCCTTTTTCTGACTTTCGACTCACAGCCATCGCTCGCCGGGTGTCCTCGCGACTCTCGTCGCCGTGATTCGCGGCGTTTCCGTAATCCCCGTGGCACGTGAATTGCATTGGCCACCCCCTCCGGATCCGGTCCGAGTTAGCGACATTCGCGTCAACAGCGTTTACAGCGGGAACGCGAGAATTCTCGGAGAAACCGCCGTTATCGGAAAAACCCGCCCTCCACGTCCATCCGGGTCGCGTTCTGCTCATGGTGGAAGTCCCTCGGAACTCCTTTTTCAGGCAGGAAGGTAGTAGTAGTAGCGGCGTCACTCCCGTTCGTCGCAGGACGACTCAACCGCAGCTGTAGTTAATTCTGCGTTCGAGCCGCTGTTTAGCCTGCCCTCAGAATCTGTGAAGGAAACAGAGAGGAGCTTTTTAAGTGAGAGGAAATTCGCCAACGCTCACCTGTCGTCACGATGCCGACGATTATCCACGAGACGGACCGCAGCCCGCACCCTGGTCACCAACCCGCTGGATGCGCTCGCCGCTGCCTAAATACCTGCTGCACCATCGGTACGTCCCACCTCCGATCCCGCCTCGCTATCCCACTTCCCGATACAACCTTCAGACTCCCCTACTTTCATCAGACTCCACCTCCCCCCTGCTCCCGTCGCGGTCATGATGACGCTTTGCTGGTTTAACCTCGCGATCCAACTCTCACATGTATTTACCGTTTGCGCTGCTTACTCTCTAATAACTCTTCAACATTCTTGCATGCTGCTTCTGTGTCTTTAAGTCCAGGTGCTCGCATGCCGCTGTACGCGTACGCAAAGCGTCCTTGCCACGCGTCGCAGTGCACCAATCTGAAGCCGGAGCGTATTCAATCGTTCACGGAGCTGGACGGAGTTCCTGGCTTCCATCCCGGTCCGGGAATTTTCGAAAGCGCCTCGAGTTTCGCGTCGTACGACGACCTGCTGTCCATTCGCGAGTCGCTGTCGTCGTCAGACGACGACTCGCTCTCGTCTAGCGGCGCGAGCGACATTTATGACGACGACGACGCGGCGGCCTTCTCGCTTTGCAAGCATATCACCTCCGAGGTAACACCTGCTACAAGCTCATCGCATTGGTCACTGGTGGTTGCTGGTGGTCACTGGAGCGAAGCTTATTAGTAGTAGAAATGCGTCGTTATTATTCAGTAGAAGTGCGAAGCTTAGTGGTAGTCCTGACAAAATTCTGTCCCCTCTTCTTCTCCTCCCCTGCTGTTCTGCCCTTTACAGTGGGAGAAGAAATTTCACGAGGGGTTGTTCCGTTATGACGTGACTGCGTGCGAATCGAAGGTACGTCCGACAGTTGGAACTTTCTTGAAGAAGCGGATGATAGCATTTCCTCCAACGGTGTAGGCCGGTGTTGTGTATGTGGGGAAACATGAAGTTTTTTGCTCAAGAGGCATTTTGTCGCTTTTTTGCAAATTTGCAATGAATTTCTTGGACGTGGTGCAGATTATCGAAGGTCGCCTTGGATTCATCGCGCAGCTAAACGAGGGGAGGCATTCCAAGAAGCGGCCCTCGGAGTTCCCAATGGACAAGGTGCTGCAGGCGTTTGACGACTCGAAGTTCAATTTCACCAAGGTCGGGCAGAACGAGATGCTCTTCCGCTTCGAGGAAGGCAAGGACGAGGAGAGCCGCTTCTATGAAGAGGCGGTCGTGGAGGAGAGCCCTAGCATCATAGCCATCAATGTAAGCCCAGCTTGTAATTCTGTTTCGAGCAATTTCATTTCTTGTTGTAAGTTGATGATGTCACCTAGGTCCAGCGAAAGCATCCTCTCAGTGGAAGTGTGGGCTTTTGAACACTTAGCCACTCCCTTTGTGCGCGTTCTTTCAACCTCAGGTGTCTCCCATTGACTATGGCCACGTGCTGCTGGTTCCTCGGGTTCTAGACAGAATACCACAGCGCATTGACGAGCCGAGTCTCCTCATGGCTCTCCGTAGAGTTGACAAGCCTAACTCCTGCTCACTCTATTTTGCTCTTCCCTCCCACCCTCAGGTGTCTCCCATTGATTATGGCCACGTGCTGCTGGTTCCTCGGGTTCTAGACAGAATACCACAGCGCATCGACGAGCCGGGCCTCCTCATGGCTCTCCGCCTAGCCTCAGAAGTCAACGACCCTGCGTTCAGGATCGGTTACAACAGCCTCGGCGCCTTTGCAACAATCAACCACCTGCACTTCCAAGCCTACTTCCTCGACCTTCCTTTTGCCATCGAGCGTGCGTCTACGAGGGAAATTGCTGTTTCGTCGAATGGGTGCAAGGTTGAAGAGCTGATTGATTATCCGGTAAAGACGGTGGTGTATCAGGCGGGTGCGAGTCTCGAGGAAATGGCGTCGGCTGCGGCAGCGGCATGCTGCGAGCTCCAGGAGAGAAATATACCTTTCAACTTGTTCGTTGTGGACAGGGGCACCCGACTTTTCCTCATTCCACAGGTGCATTTCCAAAACTTTCCTATCTCGTTTGATCATCGTGCTGCTTCATTGAATTTTCTCATCCTGAAATGGTGTCACCCTCTCAAAATACATGGTTTCAAGTTTACTATGGTTTCCTGTTTGTTGCCTTAGGCTCTTTTGCTTCAGGCCAGTCTGACTCCTCCCCTTCCTCCTCACTTCCCCCTTGCAGAGGTATGCAGAGAGGCAGGCACGAGGTGAGATCAGCCAAGAGCTCCTGGACACTCTGGTGAACCCTGCGTCGTTTGAAATTGCTGGTCATATCGTGTGCAAGCGTCGGGAGGATTATGAGTATGCTTCTGAGGCGTGGGCATGGAAGCTTTTGGAAGCAGTGTCCCTTACCGAAGAGGGATTCGATGTCGTCAGGAAGATTTGTGTGGAAACGTTGACGTCATCCGCCCTTAAGTTGGGGAGAAGTGATGCTGTTGAGAAGGGAAAGGTGGAGCTCATGAGTGATTTTATGACAAACGAAGGTGACGTTTTTCAGCAAGCTTTTCGGTTTGCATATGCTTGTGTTGGATAGTTCCATGTACTATTACATTTTTTCTAACTTCTTGCATATGCCTTATACTGTACCTTTTTACTTATTAAACAGAATACCTTTTCTCGCGTAGTGTGTTTCTGTTGCTGCGGTGCTGATGCAGTGTTCCAGAGATCGCTGAGCTGGCCAATTGTGATTTGTAATTGATGCTGAAATATAGCGCGTCGGTCAGACCGGGATTTGACTGAATGCCAACCAGTATAAGCCACGTGTTTGAACTCACACCAATCTACAACCGACTGTCCACATTCTCGGTTTCCCTTTGAGCACTTTCGAGGGAAGATGGAGTGACGCTGATTGGGCAGCTTCACTTCAGCCTTCTCAACCGCGAAGAAACGTTCTCAACTCTGTCGCTGCAAATGTTTCCTGAAATATCCAGGGGAACTTCCGCCAGGAGGAAAATTGCTGCTGTTCATGGCCACCTTGGGAACTTCAGCGAAGAGAAATGGTGATTCAAGCAGAGCCCCATTGGAGCAGAGCCCCATTCGAGCAGATCCTCATTCGAGCAGAACCAGGATATAAACCTTCGCGCTCTAGCACTCCCTCTCAGTAATTCTGTTCCTGGCTTACATTTGTGGAGATCTTAGGTCTGCGATTGTGAATTTATGTCCGGATTGGTGTTGTCCAGATCTCGCTCATCCTTCACGAGTCATATTCCTACGGTCCTTGTCAGGGACGATCACGCTTTAGGTAGTTCATGCCTGTGTGCGTGCGAGCCTTTTATTGTGCTTCCGTCCCCTCGGGTATCAGGCGCATTGACCCAGGTTCTACTCTTACTTTGTCGCTCTTAAGTCCAAGTCTAGTCTATTCTGGGTTCGCCAATCACCTCTCAGAGAGCCCCAGTCAGCCTCGTAGATTAAATATCTCCGCTCTGGTGGGAAGAAGGTTCTGGGCCAGAAGGACGCCTGTCGTACGGATCACTTCAACCAGTGTCAAGTCCTTACAGTCCGTACGGTTTAGAATGGCGGCGTGTCAGGAACCCGTACGAATGCAACTCGATGTCGATTTCCGTCCTGCTGACGTCATTGAGATCGCAGAAGCGGCGGGACGCGCTATTCTGGAAGTTTACAACAGCCACCAAGAGTGAGTGGGGTAGCAATAGTTGCTGGTCTGGCGGTTTTGCGGAATCACTGAATGGAAACCAGCGGGAAGCATCAGAGGTGCGAACCAGAGCAGCAAGGACAGACGATAAGGCGATGCGAAGCGAGCTATTGGGACCGATGCAGCGGGTGTTGACAGTGAGTAGAAGTCAAAGAATCATGAGATTTTTTATCGCTACGTACCTCTATCCTCGCCTTTCCCTCTTCTTCCAACACACCAACACACGGCCCTGCTCATGCTGCGCATCTTTTATCCACTCCCTCCGCGATTCCAGCGACTGGGGTGTCAGCGTAAAGTCGGACCACTCTCCGCTGACTGACGCTGACTCGAAGGCCAACGCGTTGATCTGCAGCGAGCTTGCGCGGATCACGCCGCACGTGCCGATTGTCAGCGAAGAGACCAAGTTGGTGCCGTATACTGTGAGGAAGGAGTACCAGCTGTGGTGGTGCGTGGATCCGTTAGACGGCACGAAGGAATTCATCAAGCGAAACGGACAGGTGAGCTAGTAACGAGGATAGAGACGAAGCTGGTGCTGTATTTCGTGAGGAAGGAGTACCAGCTGAGGTGGTTCGTGGACCCGTTAGACGGCACAAAGGAAATCAATAAGCGGAATGGACAGGTGAGCCAGTAGAGGGGATGCATTCCAACACACCAACATGCGGCCCTTCACATGGGGACAGACGTGACTCGAAGAATAAAGCCGGAACAGGAAATCGGAAGATGGGGACTGGTTAATGTGTACTTCTGGAAGTGTATTCCGTCTCTGCCACACCTCCTCCATGTGCAACTAACTTTATCTCTGGCAGGCTGTCTGTAACAAAAACCCCTTCTATAAGATTGTTTCATACAAGATCTCTGGCTGCAATCAACTGTCCCTGCCTCACGCCGAGCGTTGCTCCAGGTGACGAAATATCATATCTCCCCATTTTCTCCTCTTCTCCCTCTTTGCTTTCCCCTCATCCCTCCATCTTCCTTCCATCCTTTCTCCCCCGATGGGCAACGCAGTTCACAGTAAACATCGCTCTGGTGAAAGGAGATCGACCCATTCTAGGGGTGGTCCACACGCCCTGCCTCAAGAAGACGCACTGGGCTGTTGCTGGTAAAGGAGCATTCCTGCGGGACCATTCCATCCAATCAGATTCATCGTCTCTGCCCGAGGATAAGCCGATCCGGGCAGCTGAATATACGGACGCCGACCCAGGCCTGGTGATCATGGGGTCACTGTCTCACAGCACGCCTGAGACAGAGAAAATTATTGGGCAGTTTAAGGACCCTAAAGTGGAGGCGATGGGCAGCTCACTGAAATTTATGCGGGTTGCAGAAGGTTCTGCACATTTGTACCCAAGGCTGGCTCCGACATCAGAATGGGACACCTGTGCTTCTCAGGTACCGAACCTCCAATGCGCTCCTCTCTTCCCCTCTGATTTCACTGATGTCCGCATGTAATCATTCGTTCCCAAGGCTGGCTCCGACATCAGAATGGGACACCTGTGCTTCTCAGGTACTGTACCTTCAATTCTCTCCTCTCCTCCCTTCTAATTTCACTCATCTCCGCATGTTATCATTTGTACCAAAGACTGGCTCCTACATCAGAATGCGACACCTATGCTTCTCAGGTATCTCCAATACACTCCTCTTTTCTCCCTTCCCCCTCTCACTTGCCTTTCCCCACCTAAATCCATCGCTTCCGCTTCTAATCATGTGTAACCACGACTGGCTCTTGCATCAGATTGGCTTCTCATGTACCCAGTACACTCATTCCCCTCACTGCTTACCCTCCTTCCTGCTTTCCCCGCCTCTTCTTACCACATTGCTTCAACTAGTTCTTACATCTTCTCAACTGAATGCTTCCAGTAGATGAAGTTGGTAGCACTTTCTTGTTTTGAGTGTCTCTGGGTTGAGTGATGTCCCTTATATCCCGCTCATCCTTCACCCGTTCTCTTCCTCATTCTCCTTTTCCAGATTATAGTGGAAGAGGCCGGAGGGAAGGTGCTGCAGTGGCCTTCAAAAGAGCCTGTAGTGTACCGAAAGGAAAACATTCTGAACCCTCACTTTGTTGTTTTTGGTGCTCGAAAAGAGGTCCAGTGAGAAGGATGCTGTTGTACGGATGTAAGTGTTTTACAAGGCCTATTGTGCATTATACAATGATACGGCTATTGTTAACCCACTGGTACCATGCAGTTTCCAGCAATACCAGGTTCAAGAGTATACCAGGTGTCTCCATAAGTGTACTGTGTATGTGAGTTGGTCTACCGTAAATGGAAACGTATGATCCAAGGCCCCCAGTCGTGGATTGTTCGGCTGAACTGTGACTGCCAGTGCTAGGCTTCGCATCACATAGTACCGTAAACAAATATGCCAGAAATGCAATATCTGCTGCCTGTCAAAAACAGCTTGTCAGAATAGCCATGTTCGTATTGCAAGTCATCTTCCTATTGTCGAGGGTCAATCAACAGATCATCTCAGCAATGTCCCCTCCCCTCACCCATACCTCAATGTCTCCCTTCCCATCCACCCCCATCTCTCACCCCTCCCAACCCACAACCCACCCCCCACCCCTCATCTCCCTCAACCCCTAGCTCCTTCCCACAACCCACCCCTTGGTCTATTCAGTGGATTCCTTTGGTCACATGCCGCACTCATTCTGGCTGCTTGCTAATTCCTCACTCCCCAGCTGCAGTCTGTGTCTTGTGGCTGCTTGCAAATACCTCGCCTTAAACTGCTTTCTCTGTGACTGCTTGCCTGGCTCTCTCTGTGTAAGTGCTTGCATTTCAGCATCTCATTTGACTCCTCAGCCACGTGATCTGGCACGTGTCAGTCAGAACAGATCATATTAAATCAGACCAGGTCCAGTCAGTGACTCCTTAGGTCTCTTATGTTTGCGCCTCTCCTCTTCTCTCCCCTGCTCCCGTGTCATACCCGACACTAGGTCGTCAGCATGAAATCGGACCACTAATTTAAATGCCAAGATCCGTAGATCCCGCTCATACTATGCTTCTATCCTTTCCGACATGCTGTGTTTCCCTGTTGTCTCTCTCCTCTCTCCTGTCCAACCAGCGACTGCATCGCGAGCGTAAAATTCGGATCACGCTCCGCTGATCGACGATGGCTCAAAACGACGAGTTAATCCGCAGCGAGCTAGCGCGGATCACGCCGCGTGTGCCGGCTCCATCCTTTAGCGAGGAGACCAATCCGCTGCGGTAATCACTCAGGAATATTATATACTAAAGACGATTTAAGAACGCGATGAATACGCACGACTTAAGAACGCGATGTTACGAAGCTGCGAGTTAGAATGAATATATTTCACGGCTAAGCTGAACGATCGTTCGGCTGTTCCGTGAACGGCGTTGCTGAACCGTGAAGCTTTGTTTTCTTAGCTGCAGTAACTGAGCAGAGTAACTATCGTTCCGTGCCAGACACTTGTAAAGAACAACGCCAAGCACTAGTTACTACGCTTAGGTATGTTAAAACATTTATATTTAGGAGCAGATGTACAAGTCCTAGCCGATAAGCTAAAAGCTAGAAGTGTCAACCGCTAGGTTGAAGAAGTGCAAACGCCATTATCTTCAGGTCTTCAGCTCCTCGTCCTTCAATGCATGAAATGTCGTCGAAGTTCTTCAGATCCTCAGCTGCTCGCCCTTGAAACGCTTGAAACGACTTGGAAGTTGTTGAGATCCAAAGCTGCTCGCCTTTCTTCTTGACCCCTCTTGGCCGCTAGAGGCAAATGCCTCTAGCGTTACACCCGCACACCACGTTGAGGTGAGGGTCATTCGTGCGGGGACCCTGTTTGGGAGGGGTGGGGACGGGAAAAAAATACTGAAAAAGGAAGGGAGGGTTAAAATTAACGATTAAAAAGAATAAGCTCAAGCAGAAGCTCCTCGCTTGTCAGAAGTTGCCAGGTTGAGCGGTGGGAGGGAATCGAGGAGGAGGAGAGTGGCCCAAAAAAAACCCCCCAAACCCAAAAAACCGTCCCCGAAAATCTACCCAAAATTCTACCCAAAAATCCCCCAAAACCCCCCAAAGTCCCAAAAATGTGGGTGGCTGATGCGAAAGCTGCGGAAGGGACGGGGACAGGGGGAGGGGGGATGGTGGGGGGAGGAGGGGGGGTGTGGGGGGTCAAACATGTTCCTCGCTCGCTCCTATCTCCAGCTCAAGCTCCGCGCTTCAACTCCGCGCTCAGGCACCGTGCTCCTGCACCGCGCTCGCCCCGGCCTCTCTGCACCACAGACGACAGACTAAAACGTTATATTTCGAAAAACAAAAACGAGTACGTGTACAGTAAATGCGACGACACGTTACAAGGACGGGGACGCTAGTGATGCCGTCAGCTACCGTTGACGTCGGCGTAGACGTTGCCAGGTTGACCAGCGGGAGGGAATCGAGGAGGAGGAGAGTGGCTCGGCGAAATGACGCGTGTTGGCGAAAATCTGGAGTCTCTTAATTTTAACGACTCAAATTAACGCGATCTTTCCACGACGGCATATCTCTGAATTCGATGGACCTTGTTTCCGCGCGTCCTATTCGAGGGATTTTCCGCCCTTCTTCTCCGAATTTCGGGCAGCCGATGAGAATTAGCGTAAAATCACAAACAGTCATGAACACAATGTTTTACGGTACATTCAAAATATCTTCGCGCGTAACGATATTTTCAAGGTACCGTAAAACAAAGTAATCGTGACTGCTTGTGAGAATACGTGAATTCCATGGGTTGCCCGAAATATGGAAAGGTAAGGGCGGGAAAATCGCACGGAAAGGGCGAGCTCAAACGCCGTCCAACGAAGTCGGAGAAAAGCCGACGTGGCGAGTTCACGATAATTTGGGTCGATAAAATTAAGAGAAACAAGACTTTCGCCGCTGCGTGTCATTTCGCCACCCCGCCGGTTCTTCCCCGAAAGCCTCTGACAGCTGAAGCACAGGGCGAAGCAACGGCATCACGGTACTACGGCAGAGACAAACGCCACAACCAAGACTGAAAAAAAAGCGCGGAAAAACGCGAAAGACTGAAACACGAAGGAGGAGGAGGAGGTAATATCACCAAATTGCTCGTCTCTGATCCCGTGCGCCGCGAGACCTGGCAACGCGCCATCTGCCGTGCCGTCGCGCCATACGCCCGCGGTACCCGCCAGACGCCCCGCCGACGCGCCATACACCCTCGATTCCCGCCAAACGCGGATCGTATCTAGGAAACTGCGCACATGGCGAAGCAACGGCATCAAGGTACCACGGCAGAGACACGCACAACCAACGAGAAAGATACAAAAAAGGACGAAAAAACGACGAAAAAAACGATGAAAATCGCGAAATAACACGAAGGAGAGGGATTAGGAGGAAATCACCAACTGAGTCGCCATGCGCCGCACCATACACCGCGCCAACGCGCCATACGCCCGCGATATCCGCCAAACGCCGCGTCGTTCGCGCCATACGGCGCCATGGAAACTGCTCACATGGCGAAGCAACGGCATCACGGTACCACGGCAGAGAGGAACACACAAGCAACGAAGAAACGACGAAAAAAAAAAAAAAAAAAAAACTACGAAAATAATATGAAAAACGCGAAATAACAAACGCGGAGGAGGGGAATTGTCACCAACAGAGTCGCCTCTGATCCGCCGTGCGCCGGCGTGCGCCGCACCACCGCGCCATACGCCCGCGATATCCGCCAAACGCCGCGCCGTCGCGCCATGCACACGTGAGACGCGCCAAACGCCCGTGAGACCTGCCGGCGCCATGAGCTCCCTCTCCCGCTGTGTTGGAAACTGATCACATGGCGAAGCAACGGCATCACGGTACCACGGCAGAGAGAAACGCAGCAGAAGCAACGAAAAGAAAGACGAAAAAACGACGAAACAACGAGAAATAACACGAAGGAGAAGGAGGAGAATATCACCAACGTAGTCGGCTCTGATCCGCCGCGCGCCGTGCGCAGCGCCATACGCCCGCGTGATTCCGCCGATACGCCGCGCCGTGCGCCATACATCCGCCGGACACGCCAAACGCCCGCGACACCCGGCGGCGCCATGAGCTCCCTCTCCCGCTGTGTTGGAAACTGCTCGCATGGCGAAGCAACGGCATCACGGGTACCACGGCAGAGAGAAACGCGGCACAAGCAACGAAAAAACGACGGAAAACATGAAAGCAAACAACGAAAAAACGATGAAAGAAACGAGAAATAGCTTCAAGGAGAATGAGGAGGATGAATCACCAACGTAGTCGCCTCTGATCGCCATGCGCCCGCAAATTCCGCCGACACGCCGCGCCGTCTCGCCATGCACCCGCGAGACCGCACCAACGCGCGCTCCTTCTCGCGCTCCTGCGGCACATCACTAAGGGACAAAACACAATAGGAAGAACGTTAGTTTCTTGAAAACAAAAGAAACAAACAGAATTGACGGCACTTACCAATTAAGGGAGATACTCCCGTCAATGATCGTTGACGTCGACGTAGACGTTGACGTTGACGCCGGACGGTTCAGTGGGAAGCGAGAGGGGGCGGCGGAAGAGGGTATCCAGGCGGGGGCTGCCCTTCACCACCCTCTCCGCCACCCCCTGCCCCCCTCGCTCCCACATCCCCGCCGGTTCTTCCTTGAAAGCTTCTGAAACATGGACCACAGGGCGAAGCAACGGCATCACGGTACCACGGCGGAGAGAATCTCAACACTGGAAAGCGACGAAAACGTGGAGAACCGCCGGGAGAAGCGCCGGGGTAAACGCCGGGAGGAGCGCCGGGAGAAGTGCCGGGAGCCGGGAGAAGCGGCGGGAGAAGCGGCGGGGGAACCGCCGGGAGAAGCGGCGGGAGAAGCAGCGGGAGAAGCGGCGGGAGAAGCGGCGGGAGAAGCGCCGGGAGAAGCGCCTGGAGGCAACGCGTCATACCGCGCCCCGTGGGACGCGGCGTCGTAGCCGTGCGTCGCCCTCCGCCGTTCTGCAGGAAGCGAGGAACGCCGTTAGAATAAATTCGTCATTCGTTAATAAAACTGCGAGTAAAATGAAAACGAGGAAACAAGAAAGCAAAGCGAGTGAGGAAACACGTTACCTCAACCCGAGCGAGGCTCTACTGGTGAGGCATCAGCCGTCGGAGAATCCGGTGAAGGGGTACTTCACCATTCGTATCCGCTTGCGACGTGAGACTCGCCGTCGCCGTCGCTGTTTGCGACGTGGGAAGGCACTTCACCATTCGTCTTCGCCGTGCGTCGCTATGATTTCGTTCCGCGGCCCCGCCGTGCGCTATGCGCCTGAGAGAAATCAGTTTTTAAGAAAAAAACCGTTAAGAACCGCCAAGAGGAAGGAACAACAGAACGAAATTATACGAAACAATCAAGAACTTTCGAGGGACACGTTACCTCAGCCCACGTAAGGCGGCGCCGCTGGTGAGTCATCAGCCGTCGACGAATGAAAGGCCCATATTCCTTCGTCGTCCGTTTGCGACGCGAGCCACGTCGTCGCCGTCCGCTTGCGACGTGAAAAACGCCATCGTTTGTCGGCAACGGCGTCGCCGTCGGTATAAGCGTCTGCGCGGCCGGAGAAACGGTTGGTGATGTCTGCAGGAAGACACAAACATACGTCAGTACTAGAAATAGAAAAAGAAAAAGAAAAAGAGGTTTAAAACATGATCTATTGGCGAAATGCTCTTGGAAGTATACTCACCTCACTATCATCGGCGCTTTCATGTCCACCGGCGCGCGCGACTGCGAGGCGTCCTCTCGCAGGCGAAGCTCCGCAGACGGCGAACGCAGGCGAAGCTCTCGTGGCAGCAAAAGCTCCGCGATCACGACGGGTAAAGCTCCAGTCGGCGGCGAAAGTTCCGCGATTACGACAGTCGGCGGCTAAGGTAACGCGATTACGACGAGAAAAGCTCCAGCTTCAAGGAATCTTGACTTGAATGCTCCAGTCGGCGGCGAAATTGTCAGTTGTCTGCAGAAAAACGAGGATATAGTTAGAACCACGTCAAGCGGCAAAATCAAGTATAAACCGAACTTGCAGCAAGAGTTCGAGATTTGTAGAGTTGGAAGTTACGGCAAAAAAATGTTCAAGAACGAATCTAGAAAATAATTGCTCACCTCCACACGAGCGACGAAGGAGGTCGCGCCAGAAGCCACTCGAGCCGTCGGAGCGCAATCGGAGCGCCATCGGAGCCAGGAAGCTTCCAGGGCTTGAGCTCCTCGGAACGGCGAGAAATCCAGTCGGTAGCGAAAGCTCCGCTATTGAGACGGCGTAGAGTTGGCGGCAAGATGGTTGCCTGCAGGAAACCAGAAAATGAGTTCAGCAAACTTCGCAAAATGAAGAATTTACAGAAATAAGTTGAAAACTTTGAAGAAGGCAATTAGTTTCAAGTCATTTAGCAAACAAGGTTCAAGGAAGTGGCTGAAAACTGTTGCTTACCTCCACTCGAGCGGCCGGAGATGCTGCGGCGCCACCGGAGCGCCATCGCCGTCAAAGCTCCTCAGTCGAAGCGCCAGCGCAAGGGAGACCTCGCCATTAGAGCGTTATCGGAGCCAGGAGAACACTTTCGGAGACTTTGAAGGAGATCGCGCCAGCAGGGAACTTCGGCGTGAAGACTTTGCCGAATAGAAACTCCGGCCATTGAAGCTCGTGCAGTGGCGAGTTTAGAAGGGAGACCTCGCCGCGATTATTTCGTTGTGAAGGATCTTGGCGTGAAGATCACGTAGAAAACATCGCGCCGCGGAGAGATTGTAGCGGAGACCTCGCCGCGAGAAATCATGGCGTGTTGGTCCCTTAGTCATAATCTCGCCACGCTGAAGTTGCGGAGGAGATTTCTTAGATGTCGCGGTAAAGGGATTGCCGCGGAATTTTGGCGTAGTACACGGTTCGGCACCAAGGCAGCAGCAGCTCGCTCAGACACTCTAATCTACCCAACCCACCCCACACCCATCTCATCTAATCTACGCGACCTCACGCTGCCGCTTGCCCTCGTGCTTCCCCATGTACTAGCCGGGAGGCTTCCGGTAAGTTAAGCTGATTTGCTCCGTGGAGCTTGTATCCTGAAGTCCGAATCAAGCTCATTGGGTTGGAGCTTTTCGAAAGTCCTTCATTGAAACCGTGAAGGAATTAATCGGAAAAGAAAGTTGAGAATGGGACTTGGTAAGTTTTGATGAAAGAGGAGTTGCCTGCAAAAGCAGGCTGCTCCTGGATGAAAGAAATCGTTGGTTGGGTTTGGTATGTGGCGGCCGCGCGGTGCGTCTTTGGCGCGGGGACCACCCAAATGTGATGGCCAGGTGCAGTCGGTGCAACATGGCGCGGCTCCTTTTGTGCTGGTTTAGTGCGGTAACGAATGACAGTCTTCGAGGCTGCGCGGTGCGGGGAGAGAGGCAATTTGAATGGATGGACGGATGGTGGTGGAGTAGCTGCAGCAACGGCGAAGATTTTGCCGCGGCATGTGATGGGGCTGTGCTTGTGACGGCTTGCGCGCGGTGGGGCAAGAAATTCCCCGCCTATGAAGTGTCAGAAGATTCCTTATGACGGGAGATTCTGAGCGCCGCGTGGGGGCGAATGGTTTGGTTTCCGAACCAAGTTGTACACTTCTTTCACAAGATGCTCTATTTTGTTTTGTTTGCTTTCACAGGTCTGGTTGGCTTTTGTTTTGCGACAAACGGATCTGCTGAGGGCGCGTATTCCAGATGGGGAGTCCTGTTGAGCAGTGCGGGTAGGGAGCTAGGGCAGACTTGAGCTTTCTAGTAGGCGGTAAACGTGGCTACTTTTCTGAACTTCCTAGTTTTTGCATGTAATTTGCGTGGAGTGCGGGACGGCGGTGGCTTGGTTAGGGAGTTCGTGCGTGGCGCGGGAAGTTTAGCATTTTTTGTGGACTCGTTTTGCCTCTCCGTATTTGGTTTGGGCAGCTGGAAAGATAAGGTTGATCAAGAAGGGATTTGCGAGAGCCAATAGGAACGTAGGGTGTTTCTGTCACCCTCGCACAACCACCACCGCTTTCTATCAACAATTCCAACCCCACAATTGTTCACCTGCCATACCCGATCTCATTTCCCCGACATTGGCTTGTTCTAGTAGCGGGGGTGTGACTTCACATCAGCGAAAATTAGGTCTCTCATCACCTCATTCGCTTGCGTACTTTTCGTCTGGTAAGATCTATGCGCGGTAGTCAGACTTACGTGTAGCCTCCTATCTTGTTCCCAGATCTACGATTTATGTCTTCGCTCGCTTGTGTGTAAGTCGTACTCTGGTGCTCGCCTCGCCGCTTCTCACGTATAGTGCCATATCTAGTATTATTTTCTGACCTTGATAAGGTACTGATATTTGCGCGGTCTAGATGTTCGTATGTGGACGGATTAACAGCCTGGTTTTGCGGTCGCGTTAGTAGCGTGTAATATTGTAGGCTTGTCATGCGGACGCACGAGCAGCTACGACCTTGAGAGCGTGTCCGTAGCGTCGCGAAGGTAAGGTGACAGTAGCGAAGGCAAGGCGACGTTAGCGAAGGTAAGGCGACTGTAGCGAAAGGCGACGGTAGCGAAAGTAAGGCGACAGTAGCGTCGGTGGCGCGGGTAGCGGCGGCGGCGGCGGCGGCGGCGATGGCGCCGGTAGCGTCGGTGGCGCGGGTAGCGCGGGTAGCGCCGTTAGATTCGGTGGCGTTGGTGGCACGGATAGCGCCGGTGGCGGCACGAGGAAGAGAGCAGGCCGGGGGTAGCGCAGGCGCCAGGTATGGCAGGCTTCATTTCCCAATATTTTACGCATCCCTCATCGCCCCTGCTCTCTCCTCATCCCCTCAGCACGTTCCGCATTTTCCCCGCTCTCCCCTCATTCCCCTGCTCTCTCTTCTTATATCCGCGCTCTCTCCTTTTTCCCCCTTTAACCGCCCCTTATCTCCCCTCCGCTCGCGCCTCGTTCCCCCATTCCCCCACTTACCGCTTCTCTTTCCCGCTTCCCCTCCCCATTCACCCCCCTACTCTTTCCCCCCGCTGCAGTATCAGGCGCAACATTATCACGCACAGCAATTACAATCATCCCCCCTCACCTCACCCCCCATTCCCCTCATCACTCACCCCTCCCCTCCCCTACCATCCCCCGTCGCCCCTCAATTCCCTCACACCACTCCCCCGTTCCCACAACCTAACCACCCCGCATCCCGCCTCACGCCCTCCCCTCACCTTCCCCCCCAACCATTAACTCCTCATTCTTCTCCCTCATCCATCCCTCTCTCCAAGACCACACCCCTTCTCCTCCCCCCACACCCCTTGCCCTCCTCCCCTCCCCCAACTATCCCTCATTCCTCCTCTGCTCAGACCTTTATCTCCTCACAGCTCTCCTGCCATCCCCCTCCACGCTTATCCCCTGTTCACCCCCCTCATCATTTTCCCCGCTCTTCTGCTCGCCGTAACTATTCACCCGCTTAATATTCTCCTCGCCTTTGGTACTTGCCTTAGCTACGCCCCTTAAGATACTTGTCATGTCACTGCGTTCCTCTGATCTTGTCTTGTTTCCTCTGTCTTTCTTTGTGAGTGCTTGCTTTAGCAGCATGTTATTTGACCCCTTGGCCAGTGTCTGTGAGTGCATGTGTTTACAGCATGCCAGTTGACTCATCTGCCCTGTGTGGGTGCTTCCTTTTACAACTAGTAGAGTGGACTCATCTGTCTGCCCTGTGTGAGTGCATGCCTTGACAGCATGTCATTCCACTCATCAGCTGGCAGTGTGACTGCTTGTTTTTACAGCATGTCAATGGACTCAGCCTCAGCCGCCTGTTCCGCATGTGGTTTCAAGTGATGTGACTGGTTGGCAAGTCAACCCCACCCGACCCGAGTCTTTGCTAGGTACCATATTCTCTGTTGAAGAGGGTGATATTTTGTATCCTTTGTAGAAGAAACAACCACATTATTGCTGTTCGTGCATGGAGAGAATCAAACATATATCTGTTATGAAGCTCAATGCTGTACCATTTTCTTTGTCCTTTGCTCAACATTTCAATCTAAAATACACTACAATATAGTCTTGAACCCTTCGACTAATGTACATACCTGGGTGTTGTTTTGTAAGCAAGCCCCTAACATAATTCATTATAGTAGAACTCCAAGTTCGCCTTGTAAAGGTGAAATCCTGAGCTTGTGGCACAGCTGTCCTTGCTGGAAGCCACATTCATAATCCTGATCTCCGCCTCTTTTTTCCGTTCCATGGCTGCTCATGGTCGGATTGAGAGTGTGACTAGGACTAGTACCGGTAGGATTTACTTCGTCACCGTAAGTGAACCATGCGGCCGTTCAGATCTGCGTCTTCCGCGGCGCGAGATAGCGCTTCTCGTAGTTCGCGGTTGTTAAAACAGAGAGGCTGAATTCTGTGCGTTGTTTCATGCTGGTAGTGCTTATTGCTCTTCGGAACGTCCTTACTTCATATTAGTGACGCGAGATCAGCAGTCCCGGCGGCGACGTTTAGTCCTTTAAATACTCGTTATTGTCTTCGACCACATATTCCTGTTTTGTTTTACTAGGAGATGGCGTCTGGCGGTTCGCATCGCGATCCGCTGCCGTTCTTCGGTCCATCCACTACCATCCCCGAGCTCACTCGTCTCTCACGTCTCTCCAGCCAATCGTCTTCCGCCAGCTGTCACTGGAAGCTGTTCGACCGTCAGACTCGCTCTGAGTTGCTGTACCCGCCGGGAGACGATCGCGGACGGGTAGCCGCCTGGTCGCTTAAGATCTCGCCGTCCGGTAAACGGCTAGCCGTCATCTGGGGTTCGACAGTCACGATTTTGTCACATTATGATGGGTATTCGGCTCCCGTCGGCAGCTTCAGCATTCCGTCAGGTACTATTCCGTTAGGTCTGTCTATGCGTTGCCATTCCCTCAGGTCTGCTAAAGTGCTACTATTCCGTCAGCATTCAGTCTGATAATGGTTATTGGTTCGTGATGTCTTTTAACGCGTGTGGCGGATTTGGGAATCTGTCTTCAATGGTTGTGCTTATAGTAAATTGAGTACGTCTGTACTACCTCAGCTCTTTCACAGCAGTTATATATTTTCGTAAGCGTACCCTCTTTCCGGCGTCACCGTTTCGTTGGTTCTCATACAATTGTCCTCCTCCTTATGCCGTCACGACGTGCAGGATCAGGCAGGGATAGGGTTACCACACAGTCCAGTGTAACCGCGGAGTGGAGCGACGACGAGAGGGTCCTCGCTGTGATTGGTCCACGCGCTCTCTGGTTGCTGGACGCGCAGGGGCTGCTGCTCGGCGAATTGCACGCTGCCACGTGGCAGCCTCGGGGATCCTCCGTTGTCGCCTGTATCCTACGATCTGCACATGACACGGAGCCTGCCAGTGCAGTGAAATTGACTAGGTAAGGGAATCCTTTCATTAAATTTGAGGCCCCTCAACAGGTCGTATCCTACGATTTGCACATGACTCGGAGCCTGCCAGTGCAGGAACATCTCATAGGTAAGGGAATCCTTTCATTAACTTTGAGGCGCCTCAACAGGTTGTATCCTACGATCTGCGCATGACACAGAGCCTTCCAGTGCAGTGAAATCGACCAGGTAAGCTTGCCATTGCATTGCAGTGTAGTCTCTTAGTTAAGGGATTTCCCACACATGCTCTCCTTCCCCTACCTTTTCTCCCGCTTTGCCCTGAAATGACTTCGGAAACTAATCCACCGCCAATCTAGATCATTCATTCCCTCTCCTCCCGATGATTCCCTTCCCCTCCCCTTCCCTCTCAACACCACCTCTCACCCTGTCCTCCTCGTCCCTCCTTCCCCTCAATCACGCCCCTTTCAAGCCACAGCGTACAGGACATTATCTTGGGTCTGGGTCTGGCCCACCTTCGGCCACGCCTTTGGTGGCGAGGTGACTTTTGAGTCGACTCAAAAGTCAAGCCGCAGCGTACAGGGCATTATCTTGGTTCTGGCCCACCTTCGGCCACGGCTCTAGCGAGCGAGCTACCATCTCCCACTCAGCTTCTAATCACATCACTTCCGTGTATCATCCTCTCTCCGTCCTTCCTCCCTCCCATCCACAGTGCATACGACATCATTTGGGTCCTGTCCCACCCTCGCCCACGCCTCTGGCAAGCCACAGTCGCCCTCCCACTATATCCTCACCTCCCTCTTACCTGGTCCCCCCGTTTCCCTCCCATCCACACCCCTCCCTCCCATCCTCGTCCTGTCTCACCCTCGCCCGCGCCTCTGGCGAGCCACAATTGCCCTCCCACTCCAAGTCACAGTGTCTTGCTCTTTCCGCCCAACCACATCCCTCCCAACCGCAGTGCGTATGACATCATTTTGGTCCTGTCCCACCCTCGCCCGCGCCTCTGGCAAGCCACCATCGTTATCCCATTCTAAGCTCCTCCCACTCCAAGTCAAAGTGTCTTCCTCTTACCACCCATCCACACCCCTCCCATCCGCAGTGCTTATGACGTCATTTTGGTCCTGTCCCACCCTCGCCCGCGCCTCTGGCGAGCCACAATTGCCCTCCCACTGCCTCCCGTCGACGGCCTCCGGGCGAATTCAGGAGTTTTCTCAGGGGCCCCAGGTGTTTCTTCAGGTGGTGCTTCAGAAGCGTCAGGTGCTGCGTCAGGAGCCTGGGGACCGCGTTCCGGGAGGGTGAAGGCGAGGGGGAGGTCGTATCTGCTGGAGGGGAAGCACCAGGGGACCGTGGTTCGCTCTGACTTTCATCCTGTGCTGAGTCTCCTTGCTGTGGCCGGCATATGCCCCTCTGGTGAGTAGAGTCCCGCCCAGGTGAAGGTGAGGGCGAGGGGGAGGGCGTATCTGTTGGGGAAGTGGCACCAGGGGAACGATGTTTACTCAAACTTCCACCCTATGCTGAGTCTCCTTGCTTGCTGTGTCTGGCATTTCCCCTTTGGTCACCACTGGGCTAGGCAATACAAACTTGTCCACATGATGCCTCGCCTCCCCACGTCCCCCTATCCATCTGTCTGGCATATCCGCGACCTGCCCCACCTGCATATCCATCGGTCTGCTCTCACGATCCGTCCTCTGCCACCTGTGCATCAACAGTTCTCGTTTCCCCTTCCCGTTCGTTTTTCTCCCCTGTCCGCCCCTGCCCTCTCCTCTATTCTCCCGCCCTGCCTTCTTTCTCGCCCCTTCCCGTTTTTTCCCATGCAGCTGGTAAACCATCCCCCACGCGACCCCCCACGTCCCTCCTCCTGTCCATATGGCATATCCCCGACCCGCACCACTCCCTCCTCCCGCCCTCCTTCCTCTGCCTCCTCCGCTTCGCCCCTCCTCCCCTCCACCCTCCCCAACCCAAACCCAGTCGCTCCAAAACCCCGGGCTTGGGCTCCTCTCTAGGGTTTTGGGACGAGGGTTTAGAGGGGGAGGAGGATGAGGAAGAGGAGGAAGGGGAGGAGGCTGTAGCAGAGGTGAGATTCTCCCCTGATGGGGGATCTTTAGCGGTGGTACACCACCGGGGGGCTTTGTCTCTTATGCGGATGTCTGCTAAGGATTCTGAGCTGATGCTGCTTCCTAGGAGCGTGGGGAGAACTGTGGGTGTTCCGGCTGGGGCTGCGGTGGAGGAGGAAGGGGGCGTGGTGGAGAGAGGTGCGGAGGAGTGGGGTTTGGTGGAGGGAGGTGCAGGGGACGGGATGGGTGTGGGTGGGCAGGAGAAGGAGCAGGAAGACGGGGTGGGGAAAGGGGAGAAGAAAGAGAAAGATGGAGAGGAAGGGACACTGCAGAGGAAAGCAGTGCGGTTCCGAACAGTGCAAGGCGGTGTTGTGGATTGCGTCACCAGTGTGACCTGGCTCAGTGCTGATACCATAGCAGTGGCCCATCGCTCAGGGAGAGTAGCCATAGCCACAGTGCACGATCTAAGCAACCTCACCGGCCCGTTCCCTCTAGTATTCAGCCCGCGGGCAGTCCTCTGCTCGTCCAATCTCCTCACGCCACGTGGCAGGAGCAGGCCTGGAGTGTACCCGCGAGGGGTGATTGTTCTGGAGCCTGTCGCGAGGCAGGTGTCGGTTCCTGATTGGGCGAGAGGGACGTTGGAGTGGAGAGGAGGTTTGAGGAACGATGGCAGTGATGGTGGTGGGGAGAGGGTGTTGGAGAGTGGCTGGCGGGTTTTGTCTCTAGTGGAGCAGCCGGCGGCGGTTATGGTGCGGGTGCTAACTGAGGAAGGTAGACTTGGGGATGCATTGGGGATGGCCCGGGCAGCGGGGTTGCATTCTGATGTGGTGTTTAAGGCTGCTTGGATGAGCATGGGTGTGGGAATAGCAGCAGCAGCAGCAGCAGCAGGAGCAGCAGCAGCCGCAGCAGGGGGAAGAGGAGGAGGAGTAGGTGAGAGTGGGAGGCTGTTGGAGAGAGACAGGGGGGTTACTGGTAGGGAGGAGGAAGGGAAGGAGGAGGGGAATGATGATGCGGAGGGAGGGAGCGAGGACGAGAGGGAGGAGGAGGAAGAGGAGGAGGTATCAGCGATCACAGACTACCTCTCTCGGGTATCTGACACCCCTTGGGTGGTGCGGGAGTGTGTGAGTGTGGTGTGCCGCACAGCCAAGGGAATGGATCTGCTCTTAAGTCTGGGACTTAGAGCCACAAACAGTCTCAAGGAGGAAACCCTAAAAGCAGCAGCACGGGCTGGAGAGGCCGTGACTCTAACAGATGTGAAGCTATTAACGAATGTGAAGCTATCGGGTGTAAAGCTAGCTCTGGTACGAAGCAGGTTGCAGCTTTTGCCCTTTCGTGATCGCCTACAGAGCTACCTAGCCCTCAACATGGGCCGCTACGATCCGCAACAGTACGGCGTCTTTCGTCTCCTTCCCCTCCACTCTGCCGCCCAGCGATTCGCCTCCGCCGGCCGGATCTCAGCCATCCACATTCTACTACAGAGGCATCCCTTCTCACTCTCCCCTCACCTCCTCTCCCTCCTCTCCTCCCTCCCAGAAACCCTCCCTCCTCACTCGTATAGAGCTATTCTCCCTGGGGCCTCCCCGCCTCCTGTGTCTCGGACCAGAGGGGCTGATTGGGTGGAAGGGCGAGGGGTGCTGCAGTTTATAGGAGCAGGGCCGGCTGTAGCAGCTACAGATTCAGCTGCTGCTGTTGCTGTTGCTGCTGCTGGTAGCGGTGCTGGTGGTGGTGGTGGTGCTGCTGCTGCAGCAGCATCTGTTACAGAAGAGGTGGTGTTTTTGTCTCAGGGTTTTAAGTACCCGCCCAAGCCTGTTGTCGAGGCTTGGTACCTCTCCCGAGCCAGGGAGATTGAGGAACGGACGGGCCTGCTGCAGCACTCGCTCGCGTTGCTGGATCTAGGCTTGGCAGCAGGCTTGGCGGAGGTTCGGAATGCTATGGAGGATTACGCTGAGCTGAACAGAGTGGTGTATGGGGCATGCGGGGCTGATGATAGCGGGGCTGATTATAAAGAGGATGAGGGGGTTGATGGGGGGCGGGAGGGAGGGGAGGACAGGCAAGAGCAGGAGGAGTTGGAGGAAGCAAAAGTGGAAGGGAGTGGGGAGGGGGATGAGCAGAGGAGGGAAGGAGAGGGTCAGGGTCAGCACCAGCAGCAGCAGCAGCGGCAGCAATTTTCTGTTGTCTCCTCAGTTGCCCTAAAGCGCGCCGAGCTGACTCTCTCCATCTGGCTACAGCTGCCCATAATCGAACGGTTCAGATTCGTTCTTGGGCGGCCCCGCCCCGCATCCATCGTCTCTCGCCTGCACGAGCGCGCCCTGCCAATCCTGTTCCGCCACCTGGCATCCCCGCAGCAGGTGTGGAGCCTCCTGGAGAAATGGCTAAGGGAGGAAATCGCCCCTGTGAAAGGCAGAATGGCTGTTTTCTCGTGCATTGTGGCTGAAATGGCTAAGGGAAAACACGGCTGCCTCTCTCTCACACCCTCCATCCCACCCTCTCTCTCCTCTTCACCCATTCCCTCCTCTTCCCCCTCCCCTTCCTCTTCTTCTTCCGCTTCCTCGTCCCAACCCCCGTCCTCATCTTCCCTTCTCCCGTTTTCTCTTTCCGATCTCGCTTCTCTCTCCCTCCACTGCCTCCCTCTCTCCGCCTCTACTGATGAATGGAGCTCCATGGCTTTCCTACTCAGAGCCATTCTAGACTCTCACAAAGCGGCTGCTCTAGCAGAGCAGCAGAGAGTTAAGTCTTCTGCTCCCGCTGCTGCTGCTGCTGGTGCGGGTGGGGGAAGGGGCAGGCGGGGGGGAGCTTCGGCCCGAGCCTCCGGCGCAGGCTTGGAGCCGCTAGGTTCGGAGCAGCAGGAGGCAGTGGCGAGTGCGCTGCTATTGGTGGAAGCAGGGGCTGTCCTTGCCACGTATGAGCTCCCCACACCGTACACCGCCCTCGTCCAATCCCGTAGCGACACGTCAGCGGCGCTCCACCTGCTCCGCAGCCTCCTCTCCGCCTTCGCCCGCCGCCAGCCGCCCCCGGAGGATCCCGATTGGCTGGATCTGTTCCGCCACGTCAGCACTCTCAAACACTCCGCGTTCCTCCCCCTTCCCCCTGACTCCCTCCCCTCGGAAATGGCTAGAGTGCTTTTAAGGGAGGGAAGATTTGCCCTAGCCAGGCAGTTTCTGAGAAGCGAGGGAAGTGGGGGGAGTGGCGGGAGTGGGAGAGGAAGAGGGGGAGGGGAGGACGTGTGGTTGGAGGAAGATGCAATGCTGAGCGAGGATCGGGTGGAGGCACTGGTGATCGGCGCTGCGAGAAACTTCTTCTACTCCTCCCCGACGCTGGACTCTCCGGATGTAAGCGCTTGTAGACTTGTCATTGTAAGTGCTTGTAGTGAACGGGGTTGCACTTTCGAATCTATAGTTGGATTGGAAGCAACGCTGGTGTGATCGGTGCTGCCAGGAACTTCTTCTACTCGTCCCCAACACTGGACTCCCCAGATGTAAGCGCTTGTAGACTTGCCATTGTTCTGGGCGTGTGGTAGAGTGAGGGGGAAGCTGTGTGGTTGGACCTTGGAACTTGGAGGGTGATGCGGTGTTGAATGAGGATCGGGTGGAGGCGCTGGTGATTGGTGCTGCGAGAAATTTCTTCTACTCGTAGTCTCCAACCCTGGATTCCCCAGATGTAAGCGTGTGTTATTTTACTCATGCTGTTCCGTCAATCATTCCTCCTCACCACCTGCTGCCCTTGCACCTGTGCCAAACCCATGCGGCTCAAAAACTGCTTGTCTTTCCTCCTCTCCCTCTGGTGTTCCCCTCCGTTTCCTGCCCTCCCTCCCTACAGATCCACAGTGCATTCGCCTGTCTGGACATTCTCCCGCGCAACCCAGCAGCAGCAGCGGAGCGTCAGCTCTTCTCAGCCCTAGTGGTCGACCTCCCAGCCTGCGGCCTCCACTTACTCCCCCTCCACCTGCGTCAAACCCGCGACCGACTCGACATCATACACCAAGTGCTCAACCTCTGCCCGTTCCCCCCTATCTCCCCCCTCACCACCACCACCGCCACCTCTGCTTACTCCTCCCATCCCTCCTCTTACTCCTCCTCTTACCCCTCCTCCTACCCGTCCTCCTACCCCTCATCTCACGCCTCCCCCTACTCCTCCTCCTCGGCCTCCTCCCCCTTCGCTCCGGTCTTTTCCGTCGACCTCGCCAACACAGGGGCTCCCGAGGTGCTCACCTTAGCCTGGAAATTAGGGCTGACGTCAGCAGCGGATGAAGGGAGGGTTTTAGAAGCGGTGGCGAGAGCAGCAGCAGCCAGGGCGGATATTGGGACGGCTAGAAAGGTCGTTCAGGAGTTAATGAGTAGGAGCTATGGAGCGATATGGGATTTATGTGCTGCTTTGGCGAGGGGACCGGCTAGTAAGGGGGGAAGGGGAGGGTTGGGAGGAGGCAGGGGCGGGGGGTTGGGAGGGTTGCGGAGGCAGGGAGGGAGGTTGGGGAGTGGGATGCAGGGGGGGCTGCAGAAGGGGAAGCTGTCACGATCGGCTGTAGAGTTGGGTGTGGGTGAGGGGAGGAGGGGTGGTGTGAGGGGGAAAGGGAGAGGGGGAGGGGGATTTGAGAGGGTGGACGGGAATGAGGATGGGGTGTTAAGCGGTGATGGTGAGAGTGCGAGCGATAGCAGCAGCAGCAGCACGAGTCTGAGCGCTATGATTGGTGGAGCAGCGGCGTCTGCTACTGATTTGTCTGCTGATGTCAGCGTGGATGAATCCGCCAGCAGTGCAGCGAGCACTGCGGCTGACGTGGACGCTGACGTGGATGCTGACGTGGACGACGGATCTGATGACATCAGCATGCCGATCCGGCGGGAGTTTCTAGGGTTTGCTCTGGCTCATTGCGATGAAGCTTCCCTCCCGGACCTGCTAGCCTCGTGGCAAGGCTTGGATGCCACGGAACGGTGCGTGGCGCTAGGTGCGGCGACAGGCTTGGTGGTCCCGGGCCTGCGAGAGCAGGAGGCGCTTCTCCCTGACCTAGCTGCCGGCCGAGCCTCGGGCAAGTGGGAAGGCACGGAAGTTCTGGTGGTTCCCGAAGCTGCTACAGCCGCTGCTACAGCCGGCAGCAGCAGCAGCAGCAGTAGCAGTAGCAAAATCCGGGGAAAGGGAGTGAGCTCTGGTCTTACCACCAGCACTGGCAGGAAACTGGTTAGTCTGGGTGGGGGACGGGGGGCGATCGGGAGGGACGTGGGTCGGAGGGCACTGGCTCTGGTGTCAAGTGATGGAGAGGCATGGGGGGATAAGCAGTGGGAGGAGGTGCCTCGGCTGCTGCTGCCGTTTGCCTGCCTTCACCTGCCGTGGATGCTTCAGGTGAAAACCCGCCGTGCTGCTGCTGCTGCCGCTGCCGCCGCTGCTGCTGCTGCTAGAACTGGAGGGGCAGCAGCAGCAGCAGGAGCAGCAGCGGCAGTAGTTGGGGGGGGGATGGCAGAAGCAGCAGCAGCAGCAGCAGCGGCAGCAGATCCGATAGTGGAGCAGATAGTGGTCCTGATTCTCCACGTGCTCGCGTCCTGCCAGGTGTCGCCCTCTGATAAGCTCCTGACTGAAGCTGCCCGGAGCGCTCTAACCGCTGGGGACATTGTTTCTGCTGCGGCAGCTGCTGCGGGTCTGTGGGGGGGGAGTGGAGTAGGTTTAAGGGGAGTGAGTGGAGTAGGAAGCGGAGGATCAGGTGGTTTTCCAGGTGCTGCGTCAGGTGCTGCTTCAGGTGGTGGGTCAGGTGCCGGGTCAGGTGCTGGGCCAGGTGGTGGGTCAGGTGGAGAATCCGGTGGAGGGGGAAATGCTAGTGGTTCTGGAGCAGGGGAAGCAAGGGAAGCGAGCCCAACAGCCACTGTCGCAGCTGCTGAGGTGGCAGCGTGCGATTCGCTGGCGATGGCGTTTCTGCTGCAGGCCGGGGATTCAGTGCGGGCGGCGGGGGTGATCGATGCCGAGATGGCGAAGCGGGACGGGGCAGATGCGAAGCGGCGGTTTGTGCTGCTTCTGTTGCAATTCTCGTCCCTCCACGCGACTCTCTTCCTGCTTGCTGCTCAGGTGAGCATGCAGCGTTCCAGTCCACGAGCATATACCAGGTGAGATGGCGAAGGGGGAAGGGGCAGACGCAAAGAGGCGCTTCGTGCTGCTGCTGCTGCAGTTCTCGTCCCTCCACGCAACTCTCTTCCTGCTGGCTGCTCAGGTGAGTGCGCATAGATCATTCCAGAGGGGGGGCATTGGGGCGGGGGTGAGTTGATGCTGAGATGGCGAAGCGGGATGGGGCGGATGCAAAGAGGCGCTTCGTGCTGTTGCTGCTGCAGTTCTCGTCCCTCCATGCCATGCTCTTCCTGCTAGCTGCTCAGCTGAGTGTGCACTAAGAGCATCCCAGGGGTGGGCGGGAATGATCGATGCTGAGATGGCAAAGCGGGGAGGCGCTGATGCAAAGAGGCGCTTCGTGCTGCTGCTGATACAGTCCTCGTCTCTTCACGTGACTCCGCTTCCTGCTGGCTTCTCAGGTAAGCATATGGCACCCCAGGAGTTTTCCAGTTGAGGTCGTGAGTGAGTCGAGTTGCACATATGGCATTCCAGAGGTTCACAGGCACTGCCCTTTGTGCTTCTGCAGCAGTTCTCGCCCTTCCATGCAACCCTCTTCCTGCTAGCGTCTCAGGTGCTCAGGTGAGTTTTGAATGTACTGTTTCGTTGCTGCTGCTGCAGCAGCTGCTGCTGTCAGACGAGTCTGCCTTCTGCTGCGTTGCTCCTGCTCTCTCTCCCCATTCCGCCCAGCAGGCCAACGAAGCAGCGTTTGTGGGGTCGCTGCTGCTGCTGCCGCCAGTGCTGCTCGCGCGCGTGGCAGGGGAAGCTTCCCGGAAGGAGGAGCAGCTGGGGGAGACTGGGGCTCTGGGGTCCAGACCAGCAGTCAAGAGCTCAGGTGAGTGTGCTGCTGCTGCTTCTATCATCATCTGCTGCTCCTTCTGCTGCTGTTGCTGCTTCTATAATTGCTGGTTCTGCTTGGCTTGAGTTGACTCAAAAGACGGGGGCTCTGGGGTCCAGACCAGCAGTCAAGAGCTCAGGTGAGTGTGCTGCTGCTTCTGCTGCTGCTTCTATCAACTGCTGCTGCTGCTGTTGCTGCTTCTATCATTGCTGTTTCTGCTTGTTTTGAGTTGACTCAGAAGATGAGGAACTTTGGGGTCCAGACCAGCAGTCAAGAGCTCAGGTGAGTGTGCTGCTGCTTCTATCGTTGCTGCTTCTGCTGCCTCTTGTGTAGGTGCTCTTTCTTCTCATAACCCACCCATCCATTCCCTCCCACCTGAAGTTCATTTTTCCGTTCTCTCTCTCGCTCCTCATTCCTTCTCACACTCAATCCATTCCCTCCCACCTCACAGCACGTGCGTGCCAGCTGTGCAACTGGTGGTGTGAGGTGGTGTGTGGTGCTGCTGTCTGACCTGTCTGCCCTTCCTGTCCTTCCTCTCTCACGCTCCCTTCCCTCTCGCCCCTCACTCACGTACAGCCCGTGCGCGCCAGCTGTGCAAGCGGTGGTGTGAGGTGGCGCTGACGATGCAGGGGCGGCTGCGAGTGGTGGAGGACACGCGGGCGCTGCGCGCACTGCTACCCCGAGCTGACGTGGCGCGCTTTGTGGCGCGTGACGTGGCGTACATGGAGGCTGCTATCGCCTCATTGGTCGACACCGCCACCGGCACTATCACCGATATCACTATGAGTACAGCAAGCAGCGGTGCTGCTGCCAGCAATGCAGCCAGTACAACTGAGACTGGTGCTGCTGCTTCTGGGAGTCCTGCTGCTGGGGGAGTCATGACAGAGGCAGCAGGACCAATGCCTCACGCCCTGGCCTCTGCCCTCTCCCTCGCCCAGCTCTACCACGTGGACACCTTTCAGGTGAGGGCGAGGGCTGGCTGGGGATGCCGTGCTGTTGACAGCTGGCTGGCTGACGTGGATGATTGCGGACTGCTCTGCTGTTGACAGCTGGCGAGTGGAGATTGGCTCCTGTGCTGTTGACAGCTAGCGAGAGGGGATCGGTGGGAATACTGGCAACATGTACTGCTCACTTGTGCTTCGTCCCTATTTTGTACGGAAATTATGCTGAAACGTGGTTCTGGATTATCAGCCCCTTTTTTGTCTCATGTGGTGCAGGTTCATCTGACGTACGTCCGCTCGGTGCTGCTCTCTGATTGGCCAACGCAAGATATTGTCGCCGAGGTGGAGGCCCTCAAAGCCGCCATCTGTACCCGTCCCACGTCAGCCTTCTCCTTCTTCTGGACCTCCGTGCTCCCCCGCCTTCTCACTCAAATACAGACAAAACCGCTCACACACACACAGTCAGGCTCTCAGACACGCCCCCCCACACTCCCCACTCTTGCTCCCTACCTCCTCCGCCTCCTCTCCCACTGCCTCCTCTCCTCCCTCTCCCCTTCGCCCCCTCCCTCCTCCCCTCTGACCCCCTCCCCTCCTCTCTCCCGCCCGCTCTCCTTCCCGCTCCCGCCAACCCCTCTCACCGCACTCAACTCCTTTGTGTCGTCAGCACGGAGCGCGTCACCCCTTGCTTCCAGGCTCTCCCTTCTAGCAGACCAGCTTGAGAAGGCAGGGAGGCTTGAACCGCCGTTGAATGGGTGGGTGCTTCTAGGGGCTGCTGTTGCTGGTGCAGGCACCGCAGGAGCAGCAGCTGACAACAATGCTGCTGCTGGTGCAGACACAGCAGGAGCAGCAGGAGCAGCAGCAGCAGCTGGCAGTGTTGCTGCTGGTGCAGCTGCAGGAAAGGAAGGCAGTGTGGGCGTTGGCGAGGTAGAGAGAGCGGTTGAGAGGGAGATAGAGCGGTGCTTCGACGGGTCCTCTGTCCTGGCTGCTGCTGAGATCATCTCATCTCTCACTTCCGCTATTGCAGCATCTGCTACAGCAGGAACAGCAGCTGCTGCGTTGCCTGCTGCAGTTGCAGCAGGAGCAGCAAAAGCAGGTACAGTAGGAGGTTCAAGCGACCTGGCCGTACAACCCCGTTTTGACCAAAGCCACTTGCTCTGGCTCTTTGCTAAGTGCCAGTTGAGGCAAGCTGGCGTGCTTACTCATTCCGAGACCTTTAGCGATACAATCAAAGAGCGGAGTGACGGGGGGGCGGCGATGGCAAGTGGTAACAGTCAAGGCAGCAAGGAGGGCGAGAAGGAAAGCGGGAAGGGGAGGAGGTTGAGTCTAGAGGGGCTGCAATCCGCGCGTGTGGCTATGGCTGGGGTTCTTTCCTTGCTCTCAGATGGAAAGCGGCGGGAATTCACGCACCTGCTGCTGCGAGGATGCGAGCGGTGGGTTCTAGAAGCGTGTGTTGCAGGGGAAGGCAGTGGTGGGAAGAGAAGCGGGGGGAGAGAAGATGTTAGTGAGAAGAAAGGGAGTGAAGGGAGGGGTGGGAGAGGGAGGGAGGGAGGAGAGGTGCGGAGGGGTGTGGAGCTTTGGCTAGATGTTGTAGGAGATTGGATAGGGTGCGGTGGTGGGGAATCGGGGGAGGAAGAAGGGAAGGAGGAGAGGGAAGAGAGGGAGGAGTGTGTGGTGGAGTGTGGTAGATGCATTCAGAAGCTTCTGGCCAATGGGGTCGTGACACACCAGCAAGGTGTACTGCTCCTTCGGTTCCTCTCTGACTCATTGCTGAACACCCGAGGATCCTCGGATGAGAATGGTTCCGCTGCCAGCTCAGCAGTCCAGTCCAATAAAGTCAAGGTTTCTCCTGCTCGATCATTAACTCGGGCTTTAATGCGTCAGATGGTTCTCCTGGGATGCCCCTTGCTGGCCCTAGTCGCCGTAGCCCAGGCCACACACGGTCGTGACAGCTGGCAGCTGCCTATTGGTGCTAAACCACGGCGGCGTGTGCTGACGTCAGCGAGATCAGCAGGAGCCAATCGGGGAGCAGGAAGAGCAGGCGGGAAGCTAGGGAGAGGAAGGGAGCTGGGAGCAACAGCAGGCGCTGCTGCTTCCAGGAAGCTTCCTGGTGATGCGGGCAGCGAGACGGGGAGCACGGGCGGTGAACAGGAGGAGTTTGCGTTAAGTGACGTCAGCATGGGGAGGGCGGGGAGAGGAGTGAGTGGGCGGGGAGGGAGGGCTGGGAATAGGGGTGGTAGGGGAGGAGGGGTGGGGAAGGGAGAGGAGGAGGAGGGAGAAGGAAAGAGTGAGAAAGAGAAAAAGGAAGATCCTATGGATTTATTTGCGTCGATGGGCTTGGTCTCATCTGCTCCCCGTGCTGCTGCTGCTGGTGCTGGTGGTACTGGTGCTTCTGGTGGTGCTGCTGCTGGTAGCACTGGCAAGCCGGAAGCTTCCAAGAAGAAGCCTCTGGTAGTCTCCAAGGCTGGTGGTAGGCTCGGGGCTGTGAGAAAGGGAGGCTCGGCAGCTTCGGCACCAGCTTCGGTAGAACCAAAAGGTTTGGGCCCAGGCTCGATGCTTGGTTCGGCAGAATCCCTCTCGAATCTGGCTGCAACGGCTGCCTCAGGTGCTGTTTCAGGTGATTCTTCAGTTGCCCTCTCTGCTGCGGTTTCACCTGGCGAGGGCAGGCAGATGACAATGGACTTTGCAGCTGGGGCTGCTGGGGAGGAAAGTTCTGTCTCCTCTCCTCAGCCTAAAACTCTCTCCTCGACTGTTTCTCCTCCTGCCACTCCTGCTATTGCTGCTACTGCTGCTCCTATGGATGCTGATAAGGCTGATGCTGATGCTGATACTGCCGCACCTGCTGCCTCCGGTCCTGAGATCAGTATTGTGGGTCTCTACCTGTCAGTATTGCGAGAGCTTATGGGAGAAGCAACTGAGAACTCGCTTCCAGACAGGTTAGCGCAGGCGATTGTGAGAGTGATTCTTTCACTGGTGGAGGTGAGGGAGGGGGAGGTGTGGCAGGTGCTGAGAGAGAGGGAAGGAAGGAGTGAGAGAGGAGAGGATGAGGAGGAGGAGGAGAGTGGGTGGGGGCTTGATTTATCAGGGGATGAGGAGGATGAAGCGGAGGAAGATGAGGAAGGGGAGAATGGGTGGGGCCATTTTGAGGTTCTTGTTGCTGCAGTGCGCTCTGCTGTTTGGAGACTTCTGGTGCGTGTGGGAACGCAGGAAGGAACACAGGAGGGGGGAACGGCACGTTCCCCTGTGCTAAGCGGCGCCACACTTACCGATGGTGCTGCACGTTCCCCTGTGGTCCTAAGTGGCACACTTAGAGCGGTTGTGCTGGATGCACTGAGGGCTGTAGCTCCTGCCTCGTCCGACCTATCAGCACCTGCCACGTGGCTCTCTGGGAGAGGGTTCTTTGTGGATTCTGTAGGGCTCGGGGTGATGAGGGGTGTAGAGGGGTGCTGGGGGGTTTGGGATCTAGAAGAGGGGGTGGAGGTGGAGGAGGAAAGATGGGTGGGAGGGGATAAGAAGGATGACGTGGCATTGGACAGGTGGCGCTGGGCGGCGCTGCGATCCTGCGCAATCATGCAGTCTGATTGGCCGGGAGAGCTCGCTGACGTGGCGCCGCTGCTGGATGACGTGGCAGCAGACGGCAGCTTCGGAAGCATAGGCTCGGCAGTAGAGTCCTTCAAACAAGCCTTCTTCATTCTGGATAGCGGCGCAAGAGGGAGGCAAACGAATGCAGTGGATACTCAAACTCAGCAGCAGCAGCAGCGTGATCTATCCCTCCTAGCTCTTTTATCCATATGGGATCCGCTCCTCGCTCCCAAATGGTGCCATTCCTCTGCCACCCCTGCTACCTCCGCTGCTGCTAGTGCTGCTGGCACTGCGGCGGCTGCTGCTGCGGCTGGGCTGCATCCGCTGCACGAGTGCTGGTTCCTGCCTCTCCGCCGCTGCGCTCTCTCTCCCCCCGCTGCCACAGCAGCAACACCAGCAGGGGCGGGAGGAGCATTATCAGCAGCAACATCAGGTGCAGCAGGAACAGGAGCTGATGTTCCTTCTGCCATCCGCCCAGCAGCACAGGGCAGTGCACTCGTGCCGTCGCTGCTACTCTCTGCTCTTGACGCTGCTGCCTTCCTGCCGTCAGGGAAGAGAGCAGCAGGGCGGATGCTGCTGTCCCGAGACGAAGCGGAGCAACTTCTGGCAGACACAGCTGCTGCTGGGAGCAGTAACAGCGTTACCAGCAGTAACAGCAGTATCAGCGGTAACAGTGGTAGCAGTGGTAACAGCAGTGGCCTTTCAGCTGCCTCTCAAGCTGCTCTCTTTATGCTGAAGGTGGCTCTGCTACTGCCGTACCCCCAAGTATGGCTTCAGTCGATGCAGCTGGTTAAAGTGGCTGCTGCTGCTGCCGCTGATGCTGCTGCGGAGGCTGATGGTGGGGGTAAAGGGAGGGGTAGAGGTGGGTGGGGTGACGGGTGGGGGGGAGAGGAGGAGGAAGAAGAGGAGGAAGAGGATGAAGATGAGGAGGATGAGGATTCGTTTTATGATGAGGACTATAGTGATGATGATGGTGGGAGGGTGGGTGGGGGGAGGAGGGGTGGGTGGGGGGAGGGTGGGCGAGGAGGAAGAAGAGGAGGGAGGGGAGGAGGGAGGGGAGGGAAGGATCGTGGACCGTCATTGGATAATGAAGCTCTGACGCTGCTGCTAGCTGCTGATATCGTGCGACAGATGGCGGATGCTCATTCGGCGGTGGTTCGGCCACTGCTGGGAGCCATGGCAATGGTTATCCCCCCTCTAGCGGTTCAGTTGCAGGAGGAACGGAGGAGGGAGAGAGAGGGAGTGGAGAGAGGGGGGTTGGAGAGAGAAGGGGAGGAGAGAGGAGAGGCGGTGAGGAGGAATGGAGGTGGAGGGAGTGAGGAGGTGGAGAGGGGAGCGGGGATTGGAGGGAGGAGGGAGAGGAGGGAAAATGAACAAAGCGGAGTGAGGAGGGGTGATGGGGGATGGGGTGGGGATGAGGAGAGAGAGGAAGATGAGGAGGAAGATTACGGTTCAGGGATTCAGCAGAGGAGTGAGCAGCACCAGCAGCAGCAGCAGCAGCAGCAGCAGCAGCAGCAGCAGCAGCAGCAGCAGGGACAGAGGAGGGGCATGCTGGGTTCACTCCTCTCTCATATCAGTGCTCTCGCCCCTATGCCCACTGGGGATGATGGTGATGGTGACGGTGATGGGAATGATGGCAATGGCAGGGGATCGCATGGTAAGGAGTATGGCAACAGCATCAAGGGCAGCAACAGCAGCGGGGGTGAAAACAGCAGGAGCGACAGAAACGGGGTTGATAGCAGGAGGGGTGACAGCAGTAGGGTGGGCCCTCCGCCTCTCTATCGCACGGCCTTCCCCCATTTTGTTGCCTCCCTCACGGCCGCCCGGCAGTATGAGCTTGCCGCCCCTCTCGCCCTGCAGTTTCTGGGCAGGCCGACGTTTTCGCGCAACTGGGCAGCTTCTCGGGCAGCTCTGAAGGAATTTCTTGTGAGCGAGCTGAGGGCTGCGGAAACGGCGGGATTAGGAAAGGAGGAACGAAGGGATATATCTGAAGGGAGCCGGCAGGGAGCTGGAGTTTCAAGAGGTGATAATAGAGAGGGTGGTGGTGGTTGTGATAATGGTGAAGGGGAGTTGGTGTATCTGTCTGGGGCGATGTTTCACATCGCTGTGAATCTTCCAGACGTGTTGCTGCTCGCGCTGCAAATGTTACAGATTGATGCCTAAGAGTCACCATTTTGGAGGGATGCAGCGGTAACCGATCAGGATTTGGGTAACCATCATATGGAAGTTTCGTGTAAGCTTGTGATTGATGCACATGCTGTATTCAGTATGTTGTTGCCCAAGGTTTTGAAAATACAATCTTTTTGTTATGGGAGCTGTGTATGGGTATCGTGTACTCCGTCAAGTCGCTATATCTGTTTTATGGCTTTTTCCTTGATGCCAGCGCATCATTATCCAATCGCCACCAGATGCCAAACCAGTTTCTAGCCCATGGAGCACTCAGACGAAAATCTCCCAAACCTCCTGATAAGTAGAGGTTGTTACTCTGCCCGTTGCGAAGTACGTATGCAGTCGCGAACAGAGTAAGCGAACTCTAATACATGTGTACAGCGTTTTCGCGAACATCGCTAGGTCCCTCGTGTCATCAATCACCAGAAGAACGTCCAATACACGCAAGGTGAAACAAGAATTCACCCCCTCTCCAACTCCAACCTTGGGATTTGTTTCCCAACCTCGAGATTTGCCGCGCTGGCTGTATCTCTACAAAACTAAACTCCATCGATCTTTCTGCCTCACGGTTCTGTTCGTTGATTCTTGCTTTTTTGAGAACTCGATTACGCATCATCTCATCCATTTCCCTTGCGAAGTTAGGGTTTCCTTGCTGCACCTGTTTCTGCCAGGCGAATTCGCGTACTGTGCTTTGAGCCATCTGTTGTGGATAAGTCGTCGCGTACCTGGGAGCTTCCGTGCTTTTTGCTTAGTAATTTGCCAGCGACAGCCGATTCGCCGATTTGCTGAGCTAAGCGTTTTCAATTCAGAACCATGGCGACGGCTTCAGGTGAGGCCTTTTCGCCGCCGTGTTGGTAAATATTCGTCAGACGATCGATGGATGTTTGGTAGTCGGGAAGCGTTTCGAGCCGTCTTAAGAATGGATGAAACGTAGTCTGTAATACTCGAAGAGCGTTGCGCACATTCTGAGCTACTTTGGAGTCGTCCATTTTCAGTACTATCACTCCTCTATTGGGCCTATCTATTCTTAAAGGTTATGATTCGTCCCTTCGATTATATTTTCTGCTCTATCGCACGGCCGTTAAGCGTTCTCCTTACGCTCTTCGCGTCATGACACGCGTCTCTCCCGTTTCCCGGTCGGGACTCACGTTTTCTCCGTCGTTTGTCCAGCCGCGTCGAGTCCCGCGAGGATCACGGTTGTTAGCTTGCATGCGTTAGTAAATTTGTCTCGAACCACTTTGAAGTCCCGCAAAGACCAGGAGAACGAGCTTGAATTCGTGTGTTTCGCGTTGTGAATGCGTTTCTACTGGACCTTTTTCCACTGGATCCGGGATTTGTTTCTGTTATACCTTTTTCAACCACGTATAAGTGGAGCTTGCCCTTTCTGAGCCCGATTTGATCCTCTTCCTCTCGTCCTCTCCTTGTATATCATCCAGCGACGTTCAAGTCTCGCGAGGATCACAGGAAGCAGCAGGAGCTCGAGGAGGCGCGTAAGGCGGGGTTGGCGCGTCTCATCCTCTGTTCGTACTTCTCCTCTCACCCCCCTCCCCCCTTACCCTCTGACAGCCACGTTCAAGTCGCGCGAGGATCACAGGAAGCAGCAGGAGCTGGAGGAGGCGCGAAAGGCGGGGTTGGCGTGTCTCATCCTCCGTTCGAAATTTTCCTCTCACCTCCCCTCCCCCCTTTACCCTCTGACAGCCACATTCAAGTCGCGCGAGGATCACAGGAAGCAGCAGGAGCTGGAGGAGGCGCGTAAGGCGGGGTTGGCGCCAGCAGAGGTGGACGAGGATGGCAAAGAAATCAACCCGCATATCCCGCAGTACATGTCGTCCGCGCCCTGGTACCTCAACGCCGAACGACCCGTGAGTAGCCTGCAGCTTCTGAAGGGGGACGTGTGGGGGGGATTAGAGGGAAGAAGGGGGTAGGATGGGGAAAGAAGGGGGGGGGATGAGTGAGGGAAGTTGGGGATTTGGGGGAGGGAAGTTGTTGGGGGGATGGGGATCACAGGAAGCAGCAGGAGCTGGAGGTGGGGAGGAAGAGGCGGGGTTGGCGCCAGCAGAGGTGGACGAGGATGGCAAAGAGATCAACCCGCATATTCCGCAGTACATGTCGTCCGCGCCCTGGTACCTCAACGCCGAACGCCCCGTGAGTAGCAGGGAAATGAGGTTGGGGTGGGGATGGGGTGGGAGTGGGGGCTGGGATGGTGCCTGCATGGGTGGGTTGCTGTATGGGTTGGGTGAGGCTCGTTCCCGCAGTACATGCCGTCCGCGCCCTGGTGCTTCAACGCCGAACGACCCGTGAGAAGCGGGGGAAGGGGTTGAGGGGGTGGGGTAGGGTTGGAGGTTGGGATGGTGGGTGTATGGGTGGGACTCGTTCCCGCAGTACATGTCCTCCGCGCCGTGGTAACGCCATCCCCCTGTCTGTATCCACCCTATCGTGCGTGTGAGCAGAGTTTGAAGCATCAACGGAACTGGAAGGGCGAGGGGAACTACGCCAACCAGTGGTACGACCGAGGGGCCAAGGGCTTTCAAGCTGAGAAGTACCGCAAGGGCGCCTGCACCAAGTACGTTCCCTTCCCCAACTCTCTGTCTGTGCCTTGCACTCTGTGGTGCTCCTTGCACTCTGTGGTGCTCCTTGCACGATGGGTGCTCTAGTCTAGAATAGGGCGAGGGGAACTACGCCAACCAGTGGTACGACCGAGGGGCCAAGGGCTTCCAGGCTGAGAAGTACCGCAAGGGCGCCTGCACCAAGTACGTGCCCTTTTTTAATGCACTGCTTGTGTGCTTGTGCCTTGCACTCTGCGGTGCTCTAGTCGAGTTTAGGGCGAGGGGAACTATACCAACCTATGGTACGACCGAGGAGCGAACGGGTTTCAGGCTGAGAAGTACCGGAAGGGCGCCTGCAGCAAGTACGTTCCCTTTTTTAGCGCACTGCTTGTGAACGCACTTCCCCTCAAAGCACTGCTTGTGCCTTCTACCCTGTGGTGCTCTAACATAGTATAGGGCGAGGGGAAAAACACCAACCTGTGGTACGACTGAGGAGCCAAGTGGACGATCCAGAGCACCCTTTTTTCCCTCCTTCCTGGGCCCCACCCACCAGCTGTGGCGCCATGACTCATGACTCATACTGCCAAGCTGTGCGGTTGAGGGGCCGAGGAAGGTGGGAGCCAAGTGGACGAGCCAGAGCATACACTGACTGACATGTATCTCGTTCTCCCTTTCCCACACCTTCTCCTTATCCCCTCCTTCCCCCATTCCAATCACCAGTTGTGGCGCCATGACCCATACAGCAAAGTTATGTGTAGAGCGGCCGAGGAAGGTGGGAGCCAAGTGGACGAGTCAGAGCACACACTGACTTGCTCCTTCCCCCTCACCTCTGCCCCCGTCCTTGCCTGTGACCCAACCCACCAGCTGTGGCGCCATGACTCATACTGCAAAATTGTGTGTGGAGCGGCCAAGGAAGGTTGGTGCCAAGTGGACGAGTCAGAGCATTGCTGCTGACAAGAAGATCCAGTCGATTGAACTTAACTACGAGGGCAAACGCGACCGCTGGAACGGGTTTGATGCCGCCTTCTTTGATGCTACCTCCTTTCCCCGTTCCTCCCTTGCCCCTTCCCCCGGTGCCCCTTCTCCCAGCTGTGGCGCCATGACGCACACTGCAAAGTTGTGCGTGGAGCGCCCAAGGAAGGTGGGAGCCAAGTGGACGAGCCAGAGCATTGCAGCTGACGAGAAGATCCAATCGATTGAGCTCAACTACGAGGGCAAGCGCGACCGGTAAGCATCGTTTTCCGCGCTTGACTTGCTCTTTTTGACTGGTGAGCCGATGATATTAATCATCTTACGGTTTTTGTGGGCTGGTGTGCAGGTGGAACGGGTTTGATGCCGCAACGTACAAGCGAACCATGGACGCATATGACATCCGGGCAGAAGCGAGGAAAAAGTACCAGAAGGAGCAGCAGCTGAAGAAGCTAGCTGGGAAGGCTGGGGATGGGGAGGGTGGGAAGGAGGGAGGGAAGGAGGGAGAGGGAGGGGAGGGGGGAGTGGAGGAAGAGGAGGAGGAGGAGGATGATGCGAAGGTGGACGAGAGCAGGCAGATGGACTTTGGGAAGGTGGAGAAGCGTGTGAGGACGACTGGCGGTGGCAGCACAGGTTCAGTGCGGTACGTGATGGTGTGGGAAGGTGTAGAAAGGTGCAAAAGGGAAGCGTGGAGAAGCGAGTGAGGAGGAGGAGGATGCGAAGGTGGATGAGATGAAAACAGGCAGATGGACTTGCGTATACTCGAGGGCACAGTGAAATGCCTTTTGTCCCATCCCACCACGACCCTCAACCTAGATGCTGACTCGACCTACCGAGACCCTTCCTCTTCATGCCTTTTGTCCCCGCCCCTCCTGTCATTCCCTTCTCCTCCCACCCATCCCGCCCCTCCTGCCCCTTCCACCCCCTGTCCCGCTCGGCTAAGTACCTTGTCAATCTGAGCTTGGGCGTAGACTCGGCTTATTAGCGAGCAGGCCTTGGAGTTCCGGCACATCACCCTTGTGCTCCCTGCCTCCCTCCGCTTCTCCCCCGCACAGAAACCTGCGTATCCGTGAGGACACAGCCAAGTACCTTCTCAATCTGGATGTAGACTCGGCTTATTACGATCCCCCGACGCACTCCATGCGAGAAGACCTGAACCCAGAAGGAGACGCCAAGGACAAGTTCTACCTGGGAGACAACCACAACCGCATCAGCGGGCAGGCCTTGGAGTTCCGGCAGCTGACGGTGCACGCCCCCTTCTCCCCTTTCCCCCTTCTCCCCCTCTCCGTCTCCCCCTTTCCCCCTCCCCTCCAGAAACCTGCGAATTCGTGAGGACACAGCCAAGCCAAGTACCTGTTAAACCTGGACGTAGACTCAGCCTACTACGACCCGAAAACCCGGTCCATGCGTGAAGACCCCAACCCAGAAGGAGACGCCAAGGACAAGTTCTACCTGGGAGACAACCACAACCGCATCAGCGGGCAGGCCCTGGAATTTAGGCAGCTGACGGTGCACGCGTGGGAGGCCATGGAGAAGCGCAACGTGGACGTGCACCTGCAGGGCGCGCCCAGCCAGGCAGAGCTGCTTCATATCCCTGCGCTTCCCCTTCCGCCCCTCCTGTCTCCCCTCCCTCCCTGTGATGCAGAAACCTGCGTATTCGCGAAGATACGGCGAAATACCTCCTGAACTTAGATGTGGATTCAGCCTACTACGACCCGAAGACCCGGTCCATGCGTGAAGATCCGAACCCAGAAGGAGACGCTAAGGACAAGTTCTATCTTGGAGACAACCACAACCGCATCAGCGGGCAGGCGCTGGAATTCCGGCAGCTGACGGTGCACGCGTGGGAGGCCATGGAGAAGCGCAACGTGGACGTTCACCTGCAGGGCGCGCCCAGCCAGGCAGAGCTGCTGCACCGCGAGTTCAAGGTCAAGAAGGAGAGGCTCAAGGGCGCGAGTAAGGAGTCGGTTCTGGCGAAATACGGGAACGCGGCGAGTAATAAGAAGGGAGAGGAAGAGGAGGGCATTCCGGAGGAGCTTTTGCTGGGGCAGACGGAGGTGCAAGTGGAGTATGACCGGGCGGGGCGACCACTCAGAGGAATGGTGAGTGACACACTCGCTGCAGGTATGCTTGTAAGGGGTGAGTTGATTCACAGGGCGCGCCCAGCCAGACAGAGGTGAGCCAGGCAGAGCTGCTGCACCGCGAGTTCAAGGTCAAGAAGGAGAGGCTGAAGGGGGCGAGTAAGGAGTCGGTGCTCGCGAAATATGGGAACGCCAGTGGAGTGGAAGAGACGGGCATTCCCGAGGAGCTGCTGCTGGGGCAGACGGAGGTGCAAGTGGAGTATGACAAAGCAGGACGGCCCCTCAGAGGCGTGGTAAGTGGCACCATGTTTGCGCTGCAGGTATGTTTATATCGGGTATGGTACATTGCACCGCGAGTTCAAGGTCAAGAAGTAGTGGCTGAAGGGCGCGAGTAAGGAGTCGGTGCTCGCCTAGTATGGGAACGAGGCGAGAAACAAGGGTGGGGAGGAAGAGTAGGGGATTCCTGAGGAGTTATTGCTGGGGCAGACGGAGGTGCAAGTGGAGTATGACCGGGCGGGGCGGCCTCTAAGAGGGGTGGTAAGCTTATTACTGGTATGATGTGTACTGTGGTACAGTTGCTTCCCTTACCTGTTGGGGCAGAGTGTTTTTTAGAATTCTCAAAACCAACCTGCTGGGGCAGACGGAGGTGCAAGTGGAGTATGACCGGGCGGGGCGACCGTTGGGAGGAGTGGTAAGTGGCATTATGTATGCACTGCAGATATGCGTATAAAGGGTATGTTACATCTTGAAATACTTGGTGATGCTTACACTAGTCTTTGGGGGAGGCGATTCAGGAGGAGCTGTTGCTGTGGCAGACAGCTGTTTTCTTTCTCTCCTCTCTCCCCTCCATTTGACCAGGGCAAGGCCGCTCCATGCAGTCGGAATGAAGAGGACGTACTAGTGAACAACCACCCGGCCTTGTGGGGCAGCTGGTGGAATGGGGGCGTGTGGCGCTACGCGTGCTGCTGATTGAACTGCTCGTTTCGTTTCTCTCCTTCCTCTGCCCCACTCCTTGTTCCCCTGCCAGGACAAGGCCGTACCGTGCAGTCGCTATGAGGAAGACGTGCTAGTGAACAACCACACGGCCTTGTGGGGCAGCTGGTGGAATGGGGGCGTGTGGGGGTACGCGTGCTGCTGAATGATCTGACTGTATCTGTTTCCCTCGCTCCTCTACCCCACTCCCTGTTCCCCCTGCCAGGACAAGGCAGTGCCGTGCAGCCGATACGAGGAAGACGTGTTGGTTAACAATCATACAGCGGTGTGGGGCAGCTGGTGGAATGGGGGCGTGTGGGGCTATGCCTGCTGCCACCAGACCACTCGCATGAGCTACTGCACGGGTGCCAGCGGCATTGCCGCTGCTGAAGCGTCGGCGAATCTGATGCAGGCTAATATGGAGAGGAAGGAGCAGATGAAGGCAGAGAAAGGTGCGTGTCTTATTGGGAATGTGGGGCAGCTGGTGGAATGGGGGTGTGTGGGGGTACGCATGTTGCCACCAGACCACTCGCATGAGCTACTGCACCGGTGCCAGCGGCATCGCTGCTGCTGAAGCTTCAGCCAATCTGATGCAGGCTAATATGGAGCGGAAGGAGCAGCTGAAGGCAGAGAAAGGTGCGTACATCACTAGTGCGGGTTGCTTTCAGATTCTAGACGAATATGGAGAGGCGGGAGCAGATGAAGGCAGAGAAAGGTGCGTGCATCTCACTGCTGGTCTATTGCTAGCAGTCCACGCATGCTGCTGCCACCAGACCACTCGCATGAGCTACTGCACGGGTGCCAGCAGCATTGCTGCTGCTGAGGCTTCAGCCAATCTGATGCAAGCGAACATGGAGAGGCGCGAGCAGATGAAGGCTGCTAAAGGTGTGTGAATTAGGAGTGCCCTTTTTCTTGTTTGTTTATTTATTTATTTATTTATTCATTCATTTATTCATTTATTTATTTTCTTATTTATTTATCTATTTATTTATTTATTTATTTATTTATTTATTTATTTATTTATTTATTTATTTATTTATTTATTTATTTATTTATTTATTTATTTATTTATTTATTTATTTAAAAAGGTAGACTTTGGTTTGGTGAGACCCTTGGGGATTGTTTGAGTGCATGAGGAGAAGAAACCAGTGGCATGGGGGCACAGACGTGGATATGAATCTCGGCTTTCTCTCTCTCAACACCTCCTTTTCTCCCGTTCTCTCTTCTCTCCCTTCGCTGGTTGCCATTGTGACAGAAGAAGCAGGTGGTGAGGAGGAGGAGGCGGAAGCGGGCAAGGGGAAGCACACAGAGGAGAAGAAACCAGTGGCGTGGGGCACAGACGCGGATATGGATTTGAAGCTGGACAAGAAGAAATTGAAGGCGGCACTTAAGAGGGTGAGAGAGAGGGAGAGAGTGTGTGTTTGCTCTGACTGTTGTTGCAGAAGGTCTTGTGTGTGTGAGAGAGTGAATGTTACGTCTTGAAGAAGATTGGCTTTGCTGTGCTGTGTTTTGAGTCGACTCAAATCACGATTGGCGTTGCTGCCAACATGTCTGGGCGCCGTTTTCCTTCCAGTTGCCAATGTTCGCTTCAAATATGTTCTTTCCCGTGCCTCTTTATGTGTCAATGGCAGGAGGATGAGCTTGCTCGGGAGGAGAAGGACGAGCGCAAGCGCAAGTACAATGTCACGTATTCCGACGATGTGAGTGTTGTTGCTTGTTTGTCGAGTCGAACTTTCTCTTAAATCTCACACATTTGGACAAAGAGTTTATAGGCGTGCTTGCCGTGTTTCGCATTCCAAACGAAGCAAGTCCTTGCTGATTCTAACTCTATTGCAGATTCCCCACCCTACTTCACAAACCTTGTTTCAAGCTCCCCTTTCCCCCGTTCGCTCTCCCTTCTCCCCTTCCCCCCTTCAACTTGTTATAGTTGTGCTCCTCTTATTTTGTTTCCCTTCCGTGCTTGCTCGTAATCACAGGTGACGGAGGAGGACATGGAGGCGTATAGAATGAAGCGAATCCATGCTTATGACCCATGCTTGCTTTCCCCTCTTCCATTTTTTTTGTCAACACCCACCGCATCTCCCTCCACCTGCTTGCTTGTACTTGCAGGTGACGGAGGAGGACATGGAGGCGTATAGAATGAAGCGAATCCACGCCGATGATCCCATGCTTGCTTTCCTAGGCAAGGATGACGAAGATGATGCCTAGTTGACTGTTTTGTACATCTACAGTGTCAGTACGTTTACGCCATGTTAGTTTCCGTAAATAAAGCAGGTATCTGTTTTATCTACACTAGTTTCTAGAGGATCGGGATACTATGTGGCGTGAATTTGGTGATGTTGGTGTTGGATTTATTTTCTCCCCCGTTTCCGTTTTACAAGAATGACATATTACCTCTGAGAAATTACAACCACCGACTCAATAAACAGGTTGTTTTCCGCGTTTCACGGTCGCAGCTTCGGTTCGAATTGATCTATATGGCTGCGCTACCGCCATTTTTGCTTCCCAAACCACCGCGACGACCAACTTGTTGGGCGGTACAGTGCATCAGTCTCGTCTTACCGGGCCTTCTCTGACGTCGTGCCTGGTTTGGTGAAATCGTGCCTACAAGTCTGGCCCAATATTCTGGACAAAGCAACAATGATTGGTTCCGAAGCAAAAGGGGCTGGTTCGGATGTCGGACTTGGCGGGAAAATCGACCTGATCAGGCGCGAATCCCAACCGCGCTGGTTGCTTGTCCTCGTCGAACCACCTGTCCAGTGAATTATGGCAAACGCGATGTCAATAATGCATCGCCGTGAATTGCGGAACGCCGCATATTGACATATCGCGCCGCAGTACGACTCGCATCGCACGCAATCCCAAACCCAAACCGACCACCCTGTGGCCTGACCCATGACACACGCCCCTACATCCAACAGCCACAGAGAATCCCTCTTCTCAATAATTGAGTTTTTGCGTCCAATAATATGAGGCCAGCCACGCTGGTTGCTCGTGGAAAAATAGCTCCTTTGCAGCAGCTAGGAAATTGGTGACGCAAGCTGTACAATACAGCGGGCGATTGGTAACGCGAGACGACTAATTGTCGCCGCAGCAACTTGCATTGAGATTTGGGCTCTCGACCGCAATCGCCGCTTCACACGCTAGGCCCCTTGCGCCGCGAAAGCTACAGGCTATGGCAGGGCCACGCCTGAAATTAGTAGAGCCAACCAGGCTTTCCGAACCAACAGCCTCGCTTCGCGATCCAGCAACTTGGCCTTCTAAACCAATAATACGCCTTTCTGGCCTTGTGCGAGTGGACCGCATGTGTTTTCTTAATTGTCCGCTTCGCGCATCCGAGCGCGCGCCTCTGTGCGTTGAGATCTTTTCTCGCCGAACGAGCGGAAAGCCCGGGCTTAGCTTCTTAAATAACTCACACAAAGCTCTTATTCTCGCCCGCCCTTGCACATCTTTCCTTCCGAGGCGACTGAACACATATTCGTGGCGGAGTCTGCTTCCCCCTGTGATCCTTTCTTCCGCACCCGACGCAATTGTACGCAGCTTCCGTTATCGACCCCATCGTCCTCGCTTTGAATTATTGGATCGCTTGTCGCAACTCGCATTCTAACCTGGGTAACCTCCTTCGGCCACCAACCTCCAGCTTCTGGAATCTCCAGCCTCCTCGGTTCTGTCCAAGCATTTTTCCCCTCCGCTGAGTATTTAACTGGACGCTGCGATAAGCCTCCCCCGTGATTCGTGAGAACCCAACGCTCAACGCCCAACGACTTCTGAGACGTCTCAACGCTTCTCCGTTCGTCATCTCATTGCCCCAGATCGCTACTTTCTGCCTGTAAGCCAGCATTGTGACAACACAGCTTCAAGCAAGATTCCAGCAGATAAGCTCGACCGTCCCTGTTGATCATACTCGTCGTCCATTTTTTCATTGCGACGAAACTCGGCTTTCTGCTGGTAACCCCATCGCCAGGACATCCATATAACGCATCAGCACGACAACTTCAAGGTCCTTGGAAACTCCATGATGGAACAATTTGGACCTTTTGCTGCTGACCGAGTGTACAGCCAACCAGAGATGACATTTGAGAATGACCGTTTAACGAGGATGTCTTCTGAGTCAACTCAGAGGTCAAACCGAGTGAATATACAACCCCCACCCGAGATGGCCATTCCGTGCTTAGCAGCCTCTTCGCAAATTCGCCAACGAGCTGGTGGTAACACCCGCGACTCGACCTCGCCCGCTCAGGCTCAAGTTTCGCTGAAGCGCCCTTTTCCGCCGGTTCTGCTTCCGCTCGCCAACCCCGCGGAGCCCACCGTCTCGCCTGTTCTCCCCTCTCCTCCTGTTCTCCGCTCCCTTCCGCCGAACCGTCTTCCTGACTCCTCTCCATGTTTCCCGGGACACGCGGCAGAGGCAGCGGGGGCCACGGTCGGCGCAGTGAGCGCATGTTTCGGAAGCGCGGACGGGTTGACGGCGGGAGATTGGGGCGACAGGCAGAAGCGAAGACGGCTGTTTCTCCCCTCCGCCGCGGAAGAGGAAGCGAGCATGGCGACCCGCGCGAATGCACCCGCGTGTGCGGACGCATTTGCCCCCGAGCGCGGGCCTCTGGGCGCAATCGCGGAGGAGCGCACGCCTGTGGGCGCAGGCTTTGCTGGTAATACGCGGGCGGAGTTGCGAGTTGCTGCTGATGGCGGAGGAAGATGGCGGAAACGGCGTCTGGGGGAGGGGGACGCGGGTGTGCGGGACGCGGGAGAAGGGGAAGCGGAAGTGAGCGGGGGAGAGGTGGGAGCGGGGGAGGCGGGAGAGGTTGAGGCGAGGGCCAAACGGATCAGGCACGGGGGAATAGAGAGGCAGTGGGGGGACGGGAGGGGAGGGAAGCAGGGAGAGGGAGAGAATGAGGAGGATGAGGAGGATGAGGAGGAGGAGGAGGAGGAGATAGAAGATGAAGAGGGGGAGGTGGATGATGAGTGTGATGAGGTGGCAAGGGAAAATGAACCAGAGGAATGGGGGGAAAAGGACGAGGACGAGCAGGAAGGCGATGGAGTGGAAAATGGGGGGTTGAGTAGTCAATGGGAGCAGCTGAACAGGATGATTCAGCAAGATAAATGCGGTGAGGTTGAGAAGGATGAGTGGGAGGAGGAAGAGGAGGATGAGGAGGAAGATGGGGATCAAGATGAGGATGACTATGACGAGGATGAGGACGGGGATGAGAATGATGGTGACTGTAGCAGTGACTATGACGAGAGCTGGTGGGAGGAGTGCGAGAGTGATGTGGAGGGAGGGGAGGAGGCGAACAGCAGTTTGGGCGAGGAAAGATTGATGGATGGATTGAGAGAAAGTTTTCAGAAGCTGGAAACGGAGTGTAGATTGGCTCGGAAGAATTATGACGAATTGAGATCTGCTTGTAAGCAGCTTCAGGAGCAGAACAGCTTCTTCCGATCTAAGGTGAGAAGGGTGAAGCTTTTTGGGTAGGTGTATATGTTAGCTGTAATGAGGATGATGTTTTCTGATTTTGGATGGGTTTGTTTTGATGCAGATTGAAACTCTTCAAGGGCTCCGTGGCGGATTTCAGACCAAGCAAGGCTTCTAGTATGTACCTTGTGAACGATATATTCATTTTTATACATGTAAATCATATGGATATATTGACCAATATTGCAATACCATAAAAGACAGTTATTAGCACACAGTCTATCTCAGCAATCAGAGAAAAAGTTGTAGCGCCTTGGTCCTATCTGACGAATAGATACACTAAAATCTGGCGCCTTGGCCATGGCATCCATGAGTTGAGCCTAGTTCCCTTAAGTTTAGTGCCACCGCACTAATGGCAAACTCCTTTAAGACCAGATGATGCAGTATCTGAAAACGGGGATGAGCGAGGCGGGTAACCCGGTCCCGCTCGCCAGTGGCCAGGACCGTGCTCAGGCATCCCATTCAGCACTGCCAGCTCGCGAAGTTGTGCCCGCTTCAGCAAGTCGTAAGAGTCGTCCTGAAGTGGGGGACGGAAGGTTGACAATCACCCACATTTGTAACATTAGTAGGCGATACGGGAATCCGTCGTATGAAAGGGTTGCATTCGCCAGGCCAGCAATTCGCCCTTCGCAACAGTAGGCGCGAAAAAGGCAGATCCAACACGCGAAACATCCCACCTACGAAACCAGATCCATCCTCCTCGCATTGCCTGACAGCTTGGTTTCCAGGGGAACCACAAATGTTGAGCAATGGAGTTCTATTTCTAAATTCAGCTCCATGGTTCTTCTAGTATTACGTACCACGGGTTTCAGCAGTTCGTGCACTATTTCGCACGCCTCCCCCAGCTGCATGTCCACAATGTCCGCCGGTAGTTCCGCAACTACGACCACGTGGAGGGGGTCGAAGAGATGCTCGTAGCCAGGCTTGCCACGTAGGCGCTCTTCCTGTGGTGTGGTGCGGGGGGGCGACACGAAACGGGAAATTCAATAAGTACGGCCACGCGAAAAACGAATGTCTGGGAGCAATGTCAAGTATCAAATAGCCAAAGGCTATAAGCCGAGAAGGGAACCATTTTCACATTCTCGGTCACATCCCCAGCCCTCCGTCACATTCTCAGTCACATCCCCAGCTCACCCCCTTCTCTTGAAAGAATTTCTCGGTTTTCCTCACTCGGTATCTTCTCCTATCCCAGCAACCTCCCTCCCTCTTCTCCCCGCAACGCGACCTTTACTCAGCTCCCCCCCATCCCCTCCCCCTTGCTCCCCACGTACCCTGTGCCGCTACATCACCCATCCTCACCCCGTCACCCATCACCCATCATCACCCATCTAGCCAACTCATCGCCTCTCCGCATATGCACCCCCCGTATGCTTCTGAACCATCTTGAAGATTCTTCCTCTGTCCCAGCTATACGTACCCTGCACGGGTCCTTGATCGATCCTCGTCCGCGGATCAGCACGCGACAGCCCGTTTGCTCCTCAACGCGCTTGAGGGAGGTTCCGCGCGGCCCCAGCAACCCCGCCCCCCCATACCCACCTCATCCCTCCCCGGTTTTACTTACCCTGCACGGGTCCTTGATCGACCCTCGCCCGCGGATCAGCACGCGGCAGCCCGTTTGCGCCTCCACGCGCTTCAGCGAGTTTCCGCGCGGCCCCAGCAGGCGCCCCACGAAGTTGTACGCGGGGAAGCGGTCCACGGGGACGTTCACGCGCTGCATCTTCTTCACTATCGGCGCAACTCCGCCCCCCCCCATTCCGCCCCCCATTCCGCCCCCCATTCCGCCCGCCATTCCACCCCCCATCCCGCCCCCCATTCCGCCTCCCATTCCGCCCCCCATTCCGCTCCCTGTTCTACCTGCGCCTCCCGCCCCCATTCCCCCTGCGCCTCCCGCGGGTGCCGGCGGAGGGCTCCAGCTGGGGAGCGGCGGAAGGGACTGAGGGATTGGCGGAGGCGGCGGGAGCATCACCAGCGGGGAAAACGAGGGCTGTGAGGGGGACGAGAAGGGGGAAGGGAGAGTGCGGGACCAAGCGAGGGTTTTAGGTTTGACAGACAAAATGGCGGCTTGCGCCCATACGTATTCACACGTGCAGGTTACGAGGTACTACTCAAAACGACGGGTGTGATTTAGATTTCGCTGGTAACCCGGACACTAGTTTCTCGTACCTCGATCTCGTTAGGGAGTGGCGACCATGTGCCCCCATCGAAAGGCGAGGGAGTAGGCGAATGCCCATTCTGCGACTTTGGCGAAGTGAGCTGGTCGGGTAACAGCTGCTCCGGATTTGATATGCTATCGTTGTCCGTGGCAGAGGAGGAACAGTTGAGCGAAGTCAGCCGCGCAATCTCTGCGAGAAAACAACGTTATCATAAACAATGAATCACTTGACAGGAAAGAGAATACATAACTCTAACAAGAATCCAGGCTATTTCAGCAATGCTGAATGGCATTTTGCTTCTGCGTACCTTCCTCCAAGAGGCGGGAGCAGTGCGGTAGAACGAGCTTGAAAGGAGTCAGTTTCTTTCTCTCAGCGATTAAATCTGCCAAGTAACTGATATAGAGAGGGGTGGGAAGGGATACCCGGATGCTTATTTCGAGTCGAATTAGAATGAACCGCACTTAACAACGACTTGGATGGTAAGTAGAACTGGAACATATGTGGAGAGATAAAGTAAGAAGTTGACAGAATGGAAGAAAAAACACTTTCATATGCGAGTCCGGGCTTGGATTCCTATATGCGGCTGACAATGGAAAACCGAGGAAGGCGCGAAAAGGAAACTCGAGTTGAGCTTACAAGTCGCCATCGCTGGTGGAAGATGCGAGTCTCGCTAGTCCGGGGGACGACGGCGAAGAGCCGAGGTTCGGCGTGAACCAGCCGTTCATCCTGATTGGCTCGTGTTACAATACTCGGGGCCGTAACTAACGTGACAACGCTTGTTTCAAAGAAACAGCAGTGGAAACGTAAGTTCAAACTACCGACTGGAAAGCTGCCTGATGGATATTCTTGGGAAATGCCGCAGCTTTGCAACGACGCGAGGCGAGGCTTCAGAGTACGCTACTTGATGGGCTGGTGCGGTCAGAAGCGCAGCAAACTGATACTAATCTTGCTAATACTCAGTACTAATGGCCTGTCGGTGAGGTGTAATGTCAGAAGTTACCCAATCTAGGACTATGTTTTGCCTAGCTCACTAGCAGGAGAGGCCTGGTGATGAGGTATCGGAATTAGCCCCTTGGGAAAGCTTGCCAGTTTTCAGACGTCGCCACGCCACAGGCAGGAATAATTGATTGATGTATGTCGATAATGGCTTGCGACGTTTATGTAGGGCGGTGGGTGGAATTGCGACGGAAAACGGCATGATGTGGTCGTCGCATGGGGGCGCGATTCGAGTGAGACTCCTTATGCGACAGTGTGCGACAGCTCATGCAGTTATTGCGTGAGCCACTCTGCGACGAATGCTTACGATGTGAGTCTCTACGGAAGCTCTATCGTGCTTTCAAATGTTCCGCCGCCGGGTCGCGCCGTCGAATCCTGGGGTCGAGACTGGATTCGCAGTCATGGCATGCTTACTCGCGTCGCAACTACACCGACGCGAGAGCACGCAAATATGCGTGCCGGAGTTCTCTAGGCCCGCAGTCGCTGCAAACGCCCTGGGGCGTCCTGACGATGTTCCCCGAATTCGAGATAATGTGGTTGTCGTGGAATTCAATGGGCGACCACTTTGGGGAATTCCGAGGAAGCGTGCGAGAGAGGATAGCCATGCATGGCAGAATCACACACATGTGACGACGCGCTTTGGGGTTCTCCTATGGCTATCCAGTCGCCAAGCTGTGCATGGGTACATGAGGAATAGTGGTGAACGAAGGAGGATTGCTTGTTAGTTGGGCAGAAGTGTATGGCGGATGGAAGGGTATGAGGGTGGCATGTGTTGTGAATTCACCCCGAATTCGCCCCTCGAATGTGTTTTGAGAGCATAGCATACACTTCTCACATTCTCAGCCCCGTCGAGTCGCTTTCGTCTTCTCAGCCCCACATGACAGACGAGTCGCGGATGGTGAGCCGAGCCGCAATTTTCGCCATGTCATACCGCGTCAACTTCGCTCTCTCCGAAACCCTTTCTTTCGCAAATGCGATTTGCGGCCTGGCAAGTTCGGGCAGCTCCTGACGAAGAGAGGGGGACGAAGAAAGTAAGCGGCAAAGCTTTCCCGCTTGCTGGGGTGAAGGAAGATTTCAAGCCGCAAAAAGATTCACCCGAAACGGAAATCCTGTGAGCTCATCAAAGTTTTCCATCTCCGATTTGTGGCCAGCAATAGCTCGTCATGATTTTGCTGCGGCAAACCTGGGAGTTTTGTCTCGGATAGGGTCAGAATGAATATCTTTCCTGGTTTGAGGGCAGAAAGGGCACGTGCACAAGATTTTTGGCTGGAAGTGGATAAATTACCTTTATGGACTTCATCACTTGCAGGGACAAGCACAGAAGAAACCACTCTGAAGAACAGAGATAAATGTTCAGGCAGAATATGCAAGGCAGAATGTCGTACCAGCTATGAAGTGCTTTGTGGTGGAATATGCCAGTGTCGGGAAGGTTCCCATATAATAACAGGGAGAGATGAAAGAAGGAACACGAATGCACCTGTGGTAGTCCATAAAATCCAAGTTCATTCATCAAACGTTACTACAACCGTACACCAGGGGGATTAATGCACTAAAAAGTGCTTTTACACAGGCAACTCAATTCATCGCTCCCAGGTGGGCTTGAACCACCAACCTTATGGTTAACAGCCATACGCTCTAACCAACTGAGCTACGAGAACTGCCTGTCAGGCTTATCGTGTCTAATACAATATCGAAACATCACCACACACGTCAACACACATGGACTTGAGTGCAATGCAAAATACACTTGTATGAAATCTCTGACAGACTTTGTACTACAGCATACTGTACATGATACACATACCATAGTGATTTAGCTACTCTACTACCTACCAACCAAACGATCTACCGACATTCACACAAAATTCATGTCTAACCCCCGTACCTACGGTATCTAATCACACACCAAACGTGCACATTACTCAAACACATGTAACCAACCTCAACACCGAAGCATAGCACAGACCGCACCAGGTGTCTCATACGGAAGGTCCGGCAGCCGCCTCCATACCATACCTCCCCGAGCCTCAGCCTCAGGTTCGTACATGAGGGCCAGGGCGCCGAACCTAAATCCTACCATGCTCACCGCACCAACCGCCACTCCGGCCACCCCTCGACCGCGTCCTCCTCTCCCTCCTCCTACCCCACCCCTCCCTCCCCTCCCTCCTGCAACATTTCCTCTCCCTCCCCTTCCCCCTACCACTCTCCCTCCCATGCCTCCTACCCCTCTCCCACCACCTCTCCCTCCCATTCCTCCTCTTGCTCCTCTTCCTCTTCCCCTTTCCCTTAATCCTTCATGTGCCAACTCAGGTGTAGGTGCAGGTGTAGACTCGGGTTCAGGCTCATGTAAAGGCTCAGGTTCAGGCTCAGGTGCAGTCTCAGGTGCAGCATCAGGTGCTATTGGCTCATTGGCGGTGCTACCATCTATTACCTCTCCTGCCTCATCACCTGCCTCCTCTCCGACTGTCTCTTCTGTTGCTCCGCCTGGTGCTCCTTCTCCCGTCTCCGCCCCTACTGCTCCTTCTGCTGCCCCTCTCCCTGGTCCTTCTGTCGCCCCTCCTGCTGCCCCCTCTGTCTCATCGCCTGTTACCTCTTCTGCTCCTTGTGCTGCTACCTCTCTTGTCGTCTCCTCCGCTGCCCCTCCTGCCTCTTCCCCCGCACCCTCTCCTGCCGCCACTCCTGCCGCCTCACCTGCCTCTGCCACTCCTCTTTCGCCTCTTCTTATCCCACCCCTCGCCCCCTCTCCCCCACCCCTCGCCCCCTCTCTCCCACCTCTCCCTCCCTCCCCTCCCCTTCTCCCCTCCCGCACACCAGCAGCAAACGAAGGAATTCCCATGTCTCCACACGTGCCCCGCACCTGCACCACCAGCACCCTGGTTCGCGTGGCAACGCACCTAAACGACACTTTGCTAAGTATCATGGGGTCGGCGGGGGGGACGTACGGCACGCTGTGCATGTCCTTCCACTCGTTGCCACGCGTGTCGTACCGCACGAATGAAATCTGTCCAGATTCGATGCACCTGTGCAAAAGCCAGGGGAGATTCCCATGTTAGGCCAAATTTAGAACAAAAGTTGGCTCGTTCGTTTGTGCATTCATGCATTCAAGTGTGCGTTGTGTCTGCTCATGTGTGTGTGAGGAGAGATAGCAGTGGGAGGATGAGGACAGGTTTATGAGAGTGGGTATGCAACGAGCAGAGAGGGGAACTGCTTCGAGAACCGAGAAGGGTAATGCGGAAAGAGTTGACTTTTGAGTCGACTCAAGAGTGGACTTTTGAGAGGGAGTGTGAAAAAAACGAGTAACGAGGATTCAGGAGCTAAAAGAATGCAGAAACCAGTGAGTATACACATACTAAGAGGGAAGACATACCTGAGAATGAAAATGTAGCGACCAAGGACCGCCGAGTCTAGCACGACCCCCAGCTTCGGAATCGGCTCCCGGACCTCCCAGGTTCGGGCCCTGGGGTGGAAAACCTCCAAGCTTAGCGCCTCAGTTGCGGCCCTAAACTGAAGGCTGCTCCGGCTTCCACCAATCACGTGCAATCTCCCCCCAACACACCCCCCTACCGCCCCAACGCGCACCCTGCTCATTTCCGGGGTTAATTCCCAATAACCCCCTCTTTTTCTCCGCCTTCTCCTCTCCCACTCCCCTACCTCCTCCCCTGCCTCTGCCTCCGCCTCTCCCTCTGTCTTTCCCATCATGTTCCCCTGCCCCTCCTCTTCTATCATTCGCCCTTGCCCATCCGGAATGAAAACTTCAGCTGCCCGAAGGTCCTTTTTTTCTTCGCCCTCCTCCAATGGCTGCTGCCGAACGCCGCCCGCGACGAAAATTTTCCCTTTCCACTGCCCGCACACGAATTTGAAGCGGGGGATTTGCAGCGGCGGAGCAGAGGAGAGAGAATTCGTCCACGCGTCGTACACTAAAGGGGGGCGGCCTTTAGCGAGTATGCCTCCAAATAGGAAAATCCGATTCGATACAGCACAACACTGGGAGAAATCGTCGATAGCTAATGATTCGTTTGGAAACACCACCCACGACCAGGAATTTAATTTCGGATTGTAGGTCTGAATTAGAACCTTCGAATGCGCGGTCTGTCCCTTACTAATCACCACTAAGTGATTCTCCATCCGTCCTAACGCCTCCCGGTATTCGCGGAACGCGTCGGTGCGGATTATTCCGCGCCACGTGCGGCACACGCGCTGCATCGCCCCCAAAGCGCGCCGATCCGCGCGCGCGAGGCACTCCAAGAGCAGATCGTCCGTCAGATACGCGATCGGCGCGCTCTCAGCCGTCGGATCGTCCAGGGACGCGTATCCGCCGTTGATTTGCGGGGGAATGTCGGAAGGAAGAGGGGGGAGCTCGATCTCGTGAGCGGAAGAGGAGGAGCCCGATGCGCCGATAGGCCGCCGGAAAACGTGGCGGAAAATCCGGGATAGATTGCTCGCCCCGGAATTTGACTGAGTAACGGCATTTGCGGACGTCGAAGCCGCTGACGTGGCACCGGCGGAAGCTGATGTGGACTCGGATTCCCCCTCCCGATCCTTACCTCCGCCGAAGCGCACCTGACTAAGCCGCCTGACGTGCGTCGTAACGCGACTCGCGACGGCAGAGGAATACGAAAAAAATCCTGCTTTCGCTCCGCTAGAAGAACCAGCCCCGCTATAAGCAGCCGCGCTGTCCCGTTTAGCGCTCGGTCCGTTTATAAGCTCATTCGCGAGATCGTCCAATTGTTCGTCTTCCATCTCCTCCTCCGAGGACGAAAATCCGTCCATGGCTTCGCGTTGATCGCGTTGACTGCCGCGTTGACTGCTGTGTTGACTGCCGAACCGCCCGCTTAGCCGCCTGCTGCTGCTGCTGCCGCTCCCGCTGCTAAGACTGATGCACGACGGGACTCTGCCGCTGCTTCTGCCACTGGCCCGAGAGTCCCGGGAAACCCGGGAATCAGCAGGGGGCGCGGCGAAGGAGAGCAGAGACGACGGGAGGATGCGGAAGCTCCCCCCTCCGCTTCCGCCTCCGCCTCCGCCGGTCGAGCTTTCCTCCGCCAGCAGTGCTTTCCGCCGTTGCCGTTACTTGCGCCCTGCGTTCCGCTGTATATATACCGCAGAAACCACTTCAGCCCTAAGTGACAACAGGATGTTAGGTCATTGTAATGGTAACTAAAACCGCACCCACACCACCCCCCCTTTTATAGACGAGTCGTCTATCCTGCCGTCAAGAAACGACGCATTACCTATCCTGTCGATCAAAATGTTTCTCTATTTTAACAAAGTCAACAACTGGTAAGGACTGACTAGACAAGTCCATACTAATTTCCTCCTGCGCGGGTCGCTCTAGGGCTGTCCTTTATTCATACTCATAACCATGGCTTCCATTTATTTATTCCCTTGAGACCGCCAATCCCACACTCAGATTCTGGAAACACCGAGCCGAACGACACCACCGATTCGGTCGTTTGGCGAGCGTCGTCACTTTCGTTACCGCGTTCGCACAGACGTGCTACTTACAAACGCGAATCTCGTTTCGCGTGCACCAGCAGTGAAATGGTGTGCCTTGTGGACCATAACGTTTCGCAATCGAGACAAATGTAACTCGTCAATATCGCCAAACTCAACAACTGGCCTCTGGCCGCCACGACCCGCACCACTTGCCACCCCATGAGCACAGAAATTTCTTTCGTCGATATTAGACACCCGGAACTCTCAAAACGTCTTGACTGAGTTTCGAATCAATTGTAGGTAACAAGTTAGACGGAGAAAGAATCATCTCAAACATATGATCCTCTTGTTATTTTGGCAATATCGTTCCACATCTTCATAAGCCCATCACAGCTTGGATCTTCTCTAACCTGCCCAACAATCACAGGGTTAGCCTTATCAACAAGTGCTGCCTCTGAGGCAGCAACTCTATGCAAGTCCAACCTTTCAACAGCAAAATCAGACGCCAACTCATTCGACTCACAAGCACTCATCCCACCTTGATGCGCGACAGATGTTTTCCCTCCACAATCAGCATCTGTCTTCCCTGCCTGCGATCCAGCCTTCCTAGTGACATTCCGCTTCTTGGCTGCTCCTGAAACAGCAGTCTTTCTGTCAGAAGTTAAATGTTTTTGCAACACCTTCAACGCTTTGGGCTCCCCTTGTCTCTCAACGCTCCTTATTCTTCCAGCATCGACCCCGCCCACATCAACCCCACCCACATCAACCCCACCCACACCAACCCCACCCACATCAACCACACCCACATCAACCCCACCCACATCAACCCCACCCACACCAACCCCACCCACACCAACCCCACCCACATCAACCACACCCACATCAACCCCACCCACATCAACCACACCCACATCAACCCCACCCACACCAACCCCACCCACATCAACCCCACCCACATCAACCCCACCCACACCAACCCCACCCACATCAACCACACCCACATCAACCCCACCCACATCAACCACACCCACATCAACCCCACCCACACCAACCCCACCCACATCAACCACACCCACATCAACCCCACCCACACCAACCCCACCCACATCAACCACACCCACATCAACCCCACCCACACCAACCCCACCCACATCAACCACACCCACATCAACCCCACCCACATCAACCACACCCACATCAACCCCACCCACACCAACCCCACCCACATCAACCACACCCACATCAACCCCACCCACACCAACCCCACCCACATCAACCACACCCACATTCACCCCACCCACACCAACCCCACCCACATCAACCACACCCACATCAACCACACCCACACCAACCCCACCCACACCAACCCCACCCGCATCAACCACACCCACATCAACCCCACCCACACCAACCCCACCCGCATCAACCACACCCACATCAACCCCACCCACACCAACCCCACCCACATCAACCACACCCACATCAACCCCACCCACACCAACCCCACCCACATCAACCCCACCCACATCAACCCCACCCACATCAACCCCACCCACATCAACCCCACCTGTAGCAGGCATCACAGCTTCACCAAGCTCCCTTGGAGCCATTGACGGCTCCCTCTGTACTTGCATCTTCACCTTCACCTTCCCATTTTTCAACCTCCCATGCTTGTCACCTCGTTTGTGGAGCGACCTACTACCTGACTTGTTGTGTGCATATGCGTCGAAGAAAACCCCGCCTATTGCTGCTTCTAGTCTTAACCCCACACGGTCTCCACTCTCACGTGCACTCCCTCCCACCGAAGAGTCTAAGGCCCTGCTCTCACCTCCTCCTGCAACTCCTCCCATCTCTGGAGCAGTATCTTCCTCCTCCTCCTTATCACATGCCACATCTGCCACATCTGCCAAACCTGCCACGTCATCATCCACGTCCTCCCCAAGCCTCACCTCCCTGCCCACTGCCCTCCGCACCTCATCCGCTCCCTTGCTTCCCGACCCTCCCTTGCTTCCCAAACCTCCCTTGCCTCCCGAACCTCCCTTGCCTTCCAACCCTCCCTTGCTATCCGAACCTCCCTTGCCTTCCAACCCTCCCTTGCTATCTGAACCTCCCTTGCTTCCCAAACTTCCCTTGTCTCCACCATCCACCCTCTCGTTACCGTCCTCCCCCTCCCCATCCTCCTCCTGCCCTGTCAGATCAACCACATCCTCCACGGTAGCTTTTTGCGGCAACTCTGAGATTGCTGCAGTTGCAGAGCAAGGTGGGTGCGAGTCTCTCACAGCCGTTGTATGAGGGACCTCGGAAACAAGTGAATGTGGTGAGCGTACAGCTTTTGCAGCTGTTGCTAGCGGCAACTCTGCGATTGCTGCAGTTGCAGAGCAAGGAGAGTGTGATCCTCTCACGGCCGTTGTATGAGGGACTTCTTGACTGAGGTAGTGCGGTGAGCACACAAATTTTACGGCTGGTGCTTGCGGGACATCTGAAACAAGGGAGTGTGGTGAGCACACAGCTCTCACAACGGGCCGAAAGAGCCGCCGCAAGGCATCCATCTCAGCCTCCTCACTCACCACAACCTTCCCTCCTTCTGCACTGCTGCTCCCTCCTGCCACTGCACCTCTGTCCTTTGTGACACCAGCCCCTCCACCAACTGTGCCAGACTTCACCTCCAGCAGCTCTCGAACGTTCTCTCTTCCTCCCAGTTCTTCCTCAGCGGCTCTTGATTTCTTGAGACATCTCAAAACACTCCTCTTATCACGTGCCACTGCACCGCTGTCCCTTGTCACACCAGCTCCTCCACCAATAGTGCCACGCTTCAACTCCAGTCCTTGGTCAGCTGCTCCGTCAGCTTCACCTGTCCCTCGAATGGCCTCTCTTCCTCCCAGCCCTTCCTCAGCTGCTCTCGGTTTCTCTCGCCCACTTGACTCTCTTGACTCACTCAATGCTCGTGACTCTCCACCTCCTCTCAGCCTGGCGCCCCTTCTCGAGCCTCCACCCCCTTCCACTCTTTTAAAGCAGTCGAAAAGAGTCAACCCTTTTCTAGGCTTATGACATGCTGCTGATTCCTCCCTCCCTTCCTTCCTCGCTTCCCCCCTCCCTTTGTCTGCCTCGTCTCTCCTTTCCTCAACCTCCATCTCCCCCTCTTGCCCCTCGTCTGACCTCTCCCACCTTTCCCTCTTGATCCCATCGCCATCAAACACCCTTGTCTCTCGCTCTCCTTCTGTGCTCCTTCCTTCCTTGCACCTCTTTCCTGTCTCTTGCACCAGCTTCCCTCCCTCCCCGCCCCCCCCCCCCCCTCCTCCGCCTCTCTCCTTCTCTTCCTCCCTTTCACTCCCCCCTTGCCCACACCCAGACCACCACCCCCCTTCGTCCCACCCCTTTTCTTCCCACCTCCCATCTTCCCACAACCTTCACCTCCCTCCTCTCCCTTCTCCCCTCCTCCATCCCCCCCTCTCTTCTTAGCCTCCAAAACAGCCAAAGCAGCCCTCGCTCTGCGCCTCTCCTCAGCCCACTGGCGCTTTTGGCAGTTAGTGTGCGACAGGTGGCACGCCACACAGAGCGTCCTCAGATTCTCCACTCCGCGCTCCCCGCCTCCCTCCGCCACGGCTACTTTATGATCCGCGTGCCACGCATTGCCCTCTGTTGGAATGTCTATTAGACGCTGCAGCCTGGGGAGTGGGGAGGGGATGGGAGTGGGGAACAGATGGGAGATTCTCCACTCCGCACTCGCTCCCTCCCTCCGCCACGGCTACTTTATGATCCGCGTGCCACGCATTGCCCTCTGTTGGAATGTCTATTAGACGCTGCAGCCTGGGGAGTGGGGAGGGGATGGGAGTGGGGAACAGATGGGAGATTCTCCACTCCGCACTCGCTCCCTCCCTCCGCCACGGCTACTTTATGATCCGCGTGCCACGCATTGCCCTCTGTTGGAATGTCTATTAGACGCTGCAGCCTGGGGAGTGGGGAGGGGATGGGAGTGGGGAACAGATGGGAGATTCTCCACTCCGCACTCGCTCCCTCCCTCCGCCACGGCTACTTTATGATCCGCGTGCCACGCATTGCCCTCTGTTGGAATGTCTATTAGACGCTGCAGCCTGGGGAGTGGGGAGGGGATGGGAGTGGGGAACAGATGGGAGATTCTCCACTCCGCACTCGCTCCCTCCCTCTACCACGGCTACTTTATGATCCGCGTGCCACGCATTGCCCTCTGTTGGAATGTCTATTAGACGCTGCAGCCTGGGGAGTGGGGAGGGGATGGGAGTGGGGAACAGATGGGAGATTCTCCACTCCGCACTCGCTCCCTCCCTCCGCCACGGCTACTTTATGATCCGCGTGCCACGCATTGCCCTCTGTTGGAATGTCTATTAGACGCTGCAGCCTGGGGAGTGGGGAGGGGATGGGAGTGGGGAACAGATGGGAGATTCTCCACTCCGCACTCGCTCCCTCCCTCCGCCACGGCTACTTTATGATCCGCGTGCCACGCATTGCCCTCTGTTGGAATGTCTATTAGACGCTGCAGCCTGGGGAGTGGGGAGGGGATGGGAGTGGGGAACAGATGGGAGATTCTCCACTCCGCACTCGCTCCCTCCCTCTACCACGGCTACTTTATGATCCGCGTGCCACGCATTGCCCTCTGTTGGAATGTCTATTAGACGCTGCAGCCTGGGGAGTGGGGAGGGGATGGGAGTGGGGAACAGATGGGAGATTCTCCACTCCGCACTCGCTCCCTCCCTCCGCCACGGCTACTTTATGATCCGCGTGCCACGCATTGCCCTCTGTTGGAATGTCTATTAGACGCTGCAGCCTGGGGAGTGGGGAGGGGATGGGAGTGGGGAACAGATGGGAGATTCTCCACTCCGCACTCGCTCCCTCCCTCCGCCACGGCTACTTTATGATCCGCGTGCCACGCATTGCCCTCTGTTGGAATGTCTATTAGACGCTGCAGCCTGGGGAGTGGGGAGGGGATGGGAGTGGGGAACAGATGGGAGATTCTCCACTCCGCACTCGCTCCCTCCCTCCGCCACGGCTACTTTATGATCCGCGTGCCACGCATTGCCCTCTGTTGGAATGTCTATTAGACGCTGCAGCCTGGGGAGTGGGGAGGGGATGGGAGTGGGGAACAGATGGGAGATTCTCCACTCCGCACTCGCTCCCTCCCTCTACCACGGCTACTTTATGATCCGCGTGCCACGCATTGCATGTCACACACACGCCCCGCTCCAGTGCGAATAGCTCCTGAGGTGGTGGGAGTGGCAGAGCAGAGGAGGAACTATAGGGCTCGGTGGATTGGGGAGGAAGAGAGACGAGAGCGTCGAGATCGCATGTGTCATACACACCTCGCTCCAGTGCAAACAGCTGCTGAGGCAGTGGGAGTGGCAGAGTAGAGGTGTAGCAAGGGGAAAGAAAGGGGTCAGTGACTTGGGGAAGGAAGGGAGAGACCAGTGCATGGCAGTTGAGATTGCATGTGTCATACACACCTCGCTCCAGTGGAAACAGCTGCTGACGGGGTGGGTTGATGATGCAGGGATGTGACAGGAGGGAAGAAAGTCAGATCACATGTCGCAAAGCAACTCCTGAGGTGAGAAGAAAGGCAGAGAAGGGGGTCTGGCGGTGCAAAGCACATGTCACACACATACGTCGCTCTCAAGAGGGACACTTTTACTGAGGTGGCGATGGTGGTGATGGCAGCACAACAGTAGGAGGGTAGGCCAGAAGCCACGGGTAGGAGGGGGCACGTGAGGAGGAGGAACACGGGGAAGAGAGACGTGCGGAAAGATGAAGGGAGAAATGTAAGGAGGGATGAATGGAGGGATGTAAGGAAGGATGGAAGTCTCTGGGGGAGGAGTCTGTGAAAGGCAGGTGGAAGTCTCTGTGTCAGAGCAGGAGATCTCTTGGAGCATAAAGAAATAGATTCGACTTGGATCCAACGGTCCTAACTCGCTCTACTCTACTCTAGGCTGAGTTGAAGCTAGTAGGGAATGAATAGGTAAGAAGTCTGTGAAAGGCAGGTGGAAGTCTGTGTGCCACAGCTAGTGTGGCACACAGGCAGTGCTTGTGCTGCAGCACACAGCTAGTGTGGCACACAGGCAGTGCTTGTGCTGCAGCACACAGCTAGTGTGGCACACAGGCAGTGCTTGTGCTGCAGCACACAGCTAGTGTGTTGACATGGAAGTCAAAGGAGCAGCAGCTGGCATGGAGGGTTGTAAGGAGGGATGTGACAATGGAATTAAGGAAGGTTGTAAGGAGGAGAAACGCAAGGAGGGATGTGATAAGGAATGTAAGTAGCAGGGATGTGAGCAGAAAGGGAATCTCACCTGGTGAAGGAAGGAGAGGGAGGTGCGGGAGAGGTAGGTGGAGAAGGCAAGGGGGAGAGGGGATGATGGAAGCGCGCGACAAACCAAAACTGGAGGAGAAGAAGAGGGAATAATTTACCTGGCGAAGGAAGGAGAGGGAGGTGCGTGAGAGGTAAACGGGGAAGGCAAGGGGGAGAGGGGATGATGGAAGCGCGCGACAAACCAAAACTGGAGGAGAGAAGCAGAGAGAATATTATACCTGGCGTAGGAAGGAGAGGGAGGCGCGAGAGAGGTAGGTGGAGTGGGGACGATGGCAACTCATGAAAAAACAAAGGGAGGGAGAGAAGCGGAGGGAACTTACCTGGCGCAGGAAGGAGAGGGAGGTGCGCGAGAGGTAGGTGGAAAAGCAGGAGTCGGAGCAGAAGAGATGGCGGGGTACTGTTGGTGCTCTTGCTGCACTAGTTCTGGTTAGGGAGACAAGTGGAAAGAAGAAGCGGATACAAGTGACAGCTTGATAATTTGTTGCTGGCCTTGTATTGAGGGGATCGCTCCATATTATTAACATCATAAAAGGGCTTATTAAAGGAAAGTGACAAAGGGGATGCTAATAAGCGAGTGGCTCACCGGCAGATCTGACCACACATGCGGCAGAGTGGGACCCAGTGATTGCTGCCACGTGGCACACTCTCATTGGCTGAGACGCCAGCAGGACCAGACTTGGGATCGTGCAAGTGGTCAGAGCTTGCACACGCTGCTTCTTCTTCTGTTTCCCCTGCCCCTGCCCCTGCCCCTGCCCCTGCCCCTGCCCCTGCCCCTGCCCCTGCCCCTGCCCCTGCCCCTGCCCCTGCCTCTGCCTCTGCGCCTGGGCCTGCAGCTGATGTTTCTCCAGTCAACACCCGCCCCCCTTCTCCTTCCACCGCCCCTGAGTGTGCTTGTTCTGCATTCTCCACCACTACTTTAACTGTAACTGCTGCTTTCACTGTGCCTGTCGCTTTCCTGCTGTCACTGCTGCCGCTCCCCCTTCCCCTTCTCCTTCTCCTCCCCCTGCCCCTGAGTGTGCTTCTTCTGCATTCTCCACCTCTACTCCAACTGTAACTGCTGCTTTCACTGTGCCCCTCGCTTCCCCTGCTGTCACTGCTGCCCCTGCCGCTTCCGCAACCCCTGCGACTCCTGCTGCTTCTCCAACTTCTCTTGCTGCTGCTACTCCTTGCACATCAGCAGCAGCAGCAGCAGCAGCAGCAGCAGCAGCAGCAGCAGCAGCAGCAACAGCGGCATTACCAGAATCTGCAGCAGCAGTACCAGCAGCAGCCAGTCGCCCCCATAGCTGCCATTCTGTCCGCATGCGAGTGCCCCGCCCATGCACCCTCACCGCCCTCATCTCCTCTCTACCACCACTCCTCTTCCTCCTCCTCTTCCTCCTCCTCCTCCTCCTCCTCCTCCTCCTCCTCCTCCTCCTCCTCCTCCTCCTCCTCCTCCTCCTCCTCCTCCTCCTCCTCCTCCTCCTCCTCCTCCTCCTCCTCCTCCTCCTCCTCCTCCTCCATTCGCTGATGGCCCTCCAGCTGTGCCCCCTGACCCACCTGGGCTTCCACCTCCCACTCCCTTTCCCTCCCTAGCAGCAGCGAGTATATCCCTCTCGTAGCGCACCTCTTCTTGCTGCCGCACGTCCCTGCCTGCCATGCCGTGCCAGAACCAAACACAGGAAGAGAAATGAACCAGAGGTTACTCTTTCAAGTGCCAATGCATAGCCCCTTCTCCCCTCCCAAGCAGCATCAAGTATATTTCCTCTTGCTGCCGCACGTCCCTGCCTGCCATGCCGTGCCAGAACCAAACACAGGAAGAGAAATGAACCAGAGGTTACTCTTTCAAGTGCCAATGCATAGCCCCTTCTCCCCTCCCAAGCAGCATCAAGTATATTTCCTCTTGCTGCCGCACGTCCCTGCCATGCCCTGCAAGCAGCACCACCAGGAAGAAGATAGGTTAAGGTGGGATTACTCTTTCAATGTGCATATCCACAACACCTCTCTCTCACCGTAGCGTCACTGAAAGGGAGTGGGTGGGAGCAGCACTTGCTCCAGCTCCCAATCAGCAAACGGTCGTCTCTCACCATATCAGAATTTACCACAACACCTCTCACCATGACGTCACTGAAAGAGCGAGCGGGAGCAGCACTTGCTCCAGCTCCCAATCAGCAAACACTAACGGAAATGAGTTGTCTCACCACAACACCTCTCACCATGACGTCACTGAGGCTCACCATGATGTCACTGAAGGCTCACCATGACGTCACTGAGGCTCACCATGACGTCACTGAAGGGGAGGGGGAACAGCACTCGCTCCAGCTCCTCTGCTACAGGAAGAGCCAGGATCCTTCCAAGAAGCTTCCTCCGGTGCTGCGGCTTCAGCGCCCCCCACTCGCTGACGAATGACCTGGCCGCCTCTCGGAGCGCCACGTGTCGCCGCAGGATTGGCGGCATGCGATCCTCTGAATCCACGAGCTGGGGGGAAGCTGCAGAGGAACCTTCCTTCTTGCTGCTTTTCGTGACACAAAGGGGGTTGCTTATAACGAGGTCCAGGTCTTCTGGATGGAAGTTTTGCTCGAGTGGGACTGGGTCGAATGGACGGTCAGGATTGGTGCAAAACAGATGAATCCTGCCCGTGTGATTGCTCACCTGCCCAATTGAGAGTTCCCACAAGGCATGTCACGGAATTATAAGAGGTACATGTATATTCTTCATGAATACTCACAAGAATACTCGCAGTGTATGGAAATCACAAGCACATACTTGCATGGTGCAAGCAGGGAATGACACAAGGAACACAACGACCTGTGAACAATCAGGTCCGTGTGTGATTGTTAAGGGAGGGAACAACAAAACAAGTTCAGAAAGAAGCTTGCACATAAGCAAAGGCATGTGCAGTCGAAATCACCTCAAATCGCAGATCCTCCGGTTTTTTCTGCGCCCATCTCTGTCCATCTGCCTCCTCCTCTTCGTCCACCCTGCCTTCTTCCTCCCTGGCGTCCGCACAACAATGACTTGTTGCATGGTTAGCGCTACCACTCTCCACTGGCCCACCGCCTGTCTCTGTTTCTCTACCCACTCTTATTCCCAGATCTTGCATTTCTCTTCTTGTCGACCCCTTCTCTTCTTCCCTACCCTCAATCTCTCCCCCCTCTCTCAGTTCCTCTCTTTGGACATCCGCAGCATGCTTCCCCATCCGTGCTCGTTTCAAAACGGAGCCATCAACAACACTGTCCACTGTCAACCCTCCCTCTTGCCTCTTCCCCCCATCCACAGCAGACCTGTCAGCAAAGCTATCCTCTAGCTGCCGTCCCTCCAGCCTTTCCCCTCCCCCCACCCCTCCCTCCGTCCTCGCTCGTTTCACAGCTGACCCGTCAACAACACTGTCCACTGTCAACCCTCCCTCTTGCCTCTTCCCCCCATCCACAGCAGATTGGTCAACGAAACTATCCTCTAGGAGCCTTCCATCCTGCCTTTCCCCTCTCTCCACCGCTCCCTCCATCCTCCCTCGTTTCACAGCAGAACCATCAACAACACTGTCCACTGTCAACCCTCCCTCTTGCCTCTTCCCCCCATCCACAGCAGCCGACACTCTTTCCGCACTGCGGCACAGCCTCTGCCATGCCGTCTCATCGCGAGAATCCTGAACGGACGGGGAATGCACCAGATAGGGGAGAGGAGGAGCGAGAAGAGAGGAGTGAGGAGGCAGATAGAGAGACATAACTTTCCTTTCTGCACTCCCTCTTGCTGCTTTCCCCCATCCACAGCAGCCGACACTCTTTCTGCGCTGCGGCACAGCCTCTGCCATGCCGTCTCATCCCGAGAGTCCTGGATGGGGGAAATGGGCAGAGGAGCGTGAGAAGAGGAGTGACGCCCGTCACATGTCCACATGCACAATCGCCCCATCGGCACTTCACGTTTGGATTTGGGTCGCAGGAAACAAAACAGGAGACCCTCACCTTAGCACAGAACACGACCACGTTGACAGGGAATCTCTGCCCTCTCCTGTGCGCCCTATCCTCTGCCTGTAGATCTGCTTCACAGCTTGAGGCAGGAAATAAACTCACCTATTAATTAGGGAAGCAGGAGCAGTCTCACCTTAGCACAGAACACCACCACGTTGACAGGGAATCTCTGCCCTCTCCTGTGCGCCCTATCCTCTGCTTGAAGCAGATCTGCTTCACAGCTTGAAGCAGGAATATAAACCTCAGCTACGAATTAGGGTTCCATGCACCAGCCTCACCTTGGCACAGAACACGGCCACGTTGACAGGAAACCTCTGCCCCCTCCTATGTGCCCTGTCCTCTGCTTGTAGCAAATCAGCTGCCGCCCTCGGGATCTCCGCAAACACAATCGTCTGCGCCGCACTAAAGTCCAAGCCCACACCGCCCGCCGTCACGCCCACTATGGCCACCCGGACCTGAGGCTCGGTGGCGAACCTCTTGACAGCCTCGGCCCGCCCCAGGGGAGGCGTGGTGCCGTCCACCCGAACCAACTCAAACTGCATAGCAGCTTTGGCAGGCTTGCCAGGTCCGGCAGCAGGTTCGGTATGGTCCGCAGGTTCGGCAGAGTTGCCAGACCTCCTTCTCCCCCTCCCCTCATCCCCATCTCCAATCTCCTCCACTCCTTCCTTTTCCCCTCCCTCTCCTGCCATCCCATTCCCCTCCCCCTCCTCATCTGCCCCTCTCCTCTCAGCTCCCTCACTTTCCTCCGCCCTGCCAAACTCTTCAGCCGCCCCTCCCTCCACATCCATGCCATTCCCCTTCTCTCCCTCAGCGCCCCTCAGAATGCTGGCAGCAGCGATGCGGTAGACAGCAGCCTGTAGGGCGTCCATGACCACGTGATGGTGCGCGAAAATCACCATCTTCTCCACCATCCGCCCACTTCCGCCCCTCCGCTTCCTCTCACTCCTCTCGTTCCTCTCACTCCTCTCTTTCCGCTCACCAGTTTCCTCCACCTCCACCTCCCCCCCTTCGCCTCCAACCCCTTCTCCTCCCATTCCCTCGCCTCCCGCTTCCTCTCCGCCCCCCTCACACCCCTCCCAACCCCTCAGAACCGAGCAGTGCGTCAGCCATTCTTCCACCCCTCTCATCTTCGCCAGTCCCAACTCTTCAGGACTCAACCCCCCTACGCCCACCTTCCCTCCTCTCCGCCCCTCTCGTTCCTCTCCCCCATGCTTCCTCCTCCCCCTACCACCCCTTCCCCCACCTCTTCCACCTCTTATGCTTCCACCTCTCACATCCCCTTGTCCATCCCTTCTCCCACCGCATCCACCCCCCACATCCCCCCCACCACCACTCGAAACACCTCGTTCAGCCCTTAACATCCCCCCATCTACATCACTCCAACTGCCCAGTCGCTCCCCTTCCATCACAGCCTTTCCACCCATCAGAAGCTTCCCCTTGTTCTTTCTTGGGTGTGTGGTAGCATGACATCTCACGTCTCTGCTGCTGCCTAGCTCCTTGGGTTTTCCCTCTGTCACTTCATCCTCCCTTTCATTCTCCTCCTCTTCTTCCCCTCACCTTCTTCCTTTTCCTCCTCCTCACCATCGCCTCCCTCCTCTTCTCCTCCCTCCTCCCCCTCGTCCCCCTCGTTGTCCTCTCCCCCATCCTCCCCCTGTTCCCCATCTGCACTAACGGACTGCTTGTCTGTATATACCACAGCATCCCCCCCTGCCAGCTCAGCAACTCTCTGAACCGCAAGTGCCACGTCAGACGGCTCCAGGCGCAGCCTGATGACCTGGCGGCGCTTAGGTGGCAGCTGGAGTGCCACCTCAGACTTGAGCCGACGAATCTGCAGCAGGGCGCAATGACACGTCCACGGAAAAATATACATCAATGCATTACTCAAACATACGTAATAAGGTTAAGATTATGCTTAACGTTCCCCCTCCCTCTGGAACTTAAAAAGGTAACTCATACTAGAAGACCCTCACAATGACAGACAGCACCACCTCACACCACATCAGTGCGTGTCTGCACCGCTCCTCACCATGACAGTGTGTGACAGCAGGATGTGCAGCTCACGGAGTCGAATCCCCCTCGAGAAGTCCCTGCTGTCCCTCCCCCGGTCACAGTAGTTGCGCGCAAACTCGTACTTGGACGTGCCCAGCAGACCAGGCCAGAGGCTGTCGACCAGATTGAAGATGTCAAAGGGCCTGCTATGGGAGAGAGGTGAGGGATGAAAGGAAGAGGTAAGTCCCTGCTATCCCTCCCTCTGTCGCAGTAGTTGCGCGCAAACTCGTACTTGGACGTGCCCAGCAGGCCAGGCCAGAGGCTGTCTACAAGATTGAATATGTCAAAGGGCCTGTTACGGGAGAGAGGTGCGGATGAAAGGAAGAGGTAAGTCCCTGCTGTCCCTCCCCCGGTCGCAGTAGTTGCGCGCAAACTCGTACTTGGACGTGCCCAGCAGCCCCGGCCAGAGGCTGTCGACCAGATTGAACATGTCAAAGGGCCTGCTATGGGAGAGAGGTGAGGGATGAAAGGAAGAGGTAAATCCCTGCTATCCCTCCCTCTGTCGCAGTAGTTGCGCGCAAACTCGTACTTGGACGTGCCCAGCAGACCAGGCCAGAGGCTGTCGACCAGATTGAAGATGTCAAAGGGCCTGCTATGGGAGAGAGGTGAGGGATGAAAGGAAGAGGTAAGTCCCTGCTATCCCTCCCTCTGTCGCAGTAGTTGCGCGCAAACTCGTACTTGGACGTGCCCAGCAGGCCAGGCCAGAGGCTGTCTACAAGATTGAATATGTCAAAGGGCCTGTTACGGGAGAGAGGTGCGGATGAAAGGAAGAGGTAAGTCCCTGCTGTCCCTCCCCTGGTCGCAGTAGTTGCGCGCAAACTCGTTCTTGGACGTGCCCAGCAGCCCCGGCCAGAGGCTGTCGACCAGATTGAAAATGTCAAAGGGCCTGCTATGGGAGAGAGGTGAGGGATGAAAGGAAGAGGTAAGTCCCTGCTATCCCTCCCTCTGTCGCAGTAGTTGCGCGCAAACTCGTACTTGGACGTGCCCAGCAGCCCCGGCCAGAGGCTGTCGACCAGATTGAACATGTCAAAGGGCCTGCTGTGAGAGTAACGTGTGGATGAGAGGAAGGGGTGGAGAGGAGAGTCACCAGGAAGCATCTTGAGCTGCGAGGGCGCAGAGACATGATGACACAAGAGAGGACGACACAAGAGAGAGTGGGAAAGGTTAAGTCGGTGCGGTGAATCTGTGATTGGTGGGCAGAAAGCCAGCGCTACCATCAATACAAGCACTGATCAAAGACTGTCAATAGCTCCTATAATCACAGCAGGCTTAGGCTATACAGCAACAGCTAAGAAAGAACAGTGGATAAGCTGTTCAGGAACAGCAAAAAAGCAACCAAAAAAGAATAAGAGAACGTGCCTGGAGAGCGAGGGAGTGCCGGTGAGGAGAATAGCTCTCTTGGTCCGTCGAATCACATCCACCACCACTCGAGTCTGATGCACATGGGTGGAGTGGAGGTGGGGCAGGGAGGGGGGACAGGGACGGAGGTAAGGGAAGATGCGTCCTGAGTTGAAGTGCCCGGAGAGTGAGGGAGTGCCTGGAGAGTGAGGAAGTGCCTGGAGAGTGAGGAAGTGCCTGGAGAGTGAGGAAGTGCCTGGAGAGTGAGGAAGTGCCTGGAGAGCGAGGGAGTGCCTGGAGAGCAAGGGAGTGCCTGGAGAGCGAGGGAGTGCCGGTGAGGAGAATGGCTCTCTTGGTCCGTCGAATCACATCCACCACCACACGAGTCTGATGCACAACACAAGGGTGGTGGAGGTGGGGCGGGGATGGGGGACAGGGACAGAGGTAAGGGAAAATGCGTCCTGAGTTGAAGTGCCTGGAGAGCGAGGGAGTGCCGGTGAGGAGAATGGCTCTCTTGGTCTGTCGAATCACATCCACCACCACTCGAGTCTGAGCCGAGATGGTGGAGAGGTGGGAAGCGAAGGGGAGGGTGGAAAGATGGGGTGGAAGAAAAGGGTGGAGATGGTCCGATGGTGGGCATGACAAAGGATTCTGATTCGAACTAGAAGTCGCTTTGGTGGGGATGCCAGGGGGTAACTTTTGAGTCGACTCAAAAGTCACCTCGAAAAGGGTGGAGATGGTCCGATGGTGGACATGAAGAAGGATTCTGATTTGAACTAGAAGTCGCTTTGGTGGTGATGCAATGGGAGGGAGCGTAGAGATGCAATCATGCAGGAATCTTCTCACCATCCATCCTTGCAGGGATAGGTGGTAAAAATGTTTTATTCCGAATTTTGAAAAGTCTTCATCTATCTTCAGATCCGAAACCCTTTCACTCTTTCCTGGCAGTTTGCAGCAGTCAAAAGGTTTTGCCCCTGCCTTTGAACTCTTAGGAATATAAGTCTAGAAAGTCTCTCACCTCGGACAAATGACAGGGTTTCATGGCAGCGCACAGCATGTGAGCCTCGTACACCACCACCATGCCCCACTTTTACAAGGGTGACTTGGGGTTAAGGTCTGAACATTCTCTCACCATGTCCCACACGCCTCATGCCCCTCCAATTATGATTTCAGGATTTAGGCATAACAATTTAATGGCTTACGGCTTAAAGCTCCTCTCACCTCAAGGCAGTCAAATCTTGGTAATGATAATGGAAATGGCAGGCGAATCTTGGTAACGGTAATGCTAATGGCATTCCGAATCTTGGTAATGGTAATGGTAATGGCAGTCGAATCTTGGTAATGGTAATGGCAATGGCAGCCGAATCTTGGTAATGGTAATGGTAATGGCAGCCGAATCTTGGTAATCCCCTCCTCTCTCGTGTTGCTTCCACCATCACCATGCCCCACCCTCCTCGTGCCACACCCCTCCCATCCAAATCTTGGGTTGAAAGCATAGAGTATTTCACGATTTAGAGTTTAGTATTCGCAAACCTCCAAAAAGTCGAATCACTTCCTGGCAGTGCGCAGCACGTGGGCCTCGTCCACCACCACCATGCCCCACCCTCCTCATGCCACACCCCATCTCCTCTCCAATACATGCCCACATCCGTTGCCCATGCCATCCCCTCCCTGCTACCTCTCTCACCTCCAGGCAATCAAAGAGCTTCCTGGCAGTGCGCAGCACGTGGGCCTCGTCCACCACCACCATGCCCCACCCTCACCTTGAGGTAATCAAAGGGGTTTGAGGCGTTAGATCTGGGTACTTCCTCACCTCTAAGCAATCAAAGGGCTTCCTGGCAGTGCGCAGCACGTGGGCCTCATCCACCACCACCATTCCCCACCCGCCTCATGCAACGTACACGCCACCAACAGCATTTTGGGTTCAACAATAACCTCACCTCCAGGCAGTCGAAGGGCTTCCTGGCAGTGCGCAGCACACGTGCCTCATCCACCACCACCATTCCCCACCCGCCTCATGCAACGTACACGCCACCAACAGCATTTTGGGTTCAACAATCACCTCACCTCCAGGCAGTCGAAGGGCTTCCTGGCAGTGCGCAGCACGTGAGCCTCATCCACCACCACCATGCCCCACCCCCCTCGCCTCCTCATCAGTGTGCGCCTCAGCCTGCCTGCCATGGTGAAGGACGTGATCACCACTGCTGGGGCTGTGACAGGGGGACGGGAGGTGCAGAGCGGTTGAGAGGGGTTGAGGAGAGAAAAGAGGGCTTAAGAATGGTCCGTCCATCATCACCATGCCCCACCCCCTCGCCTCCTCATCAGTGTTCGCCTCAGCCTGCCTGCCATGGTGAAGGACGTGATCACCACTGCTGGGGCTGTGACAGGGGGACGGGAGGTGCAGAGCGGTTGAGAGGGGTTGAGGAGAGAAAAGAGGGCTTAAGAATGGTCCGTCCACCACCACCATGCCCCACCCCCCTCGCCTCCTCAACAGTGTGCGCCTCAGCCTGCC